GATCCTTTGTGTAAGGTGGCATCCCTCGCCCCTGAACACTTCTCCACGGTAAAGCTGTTTGCTTCCTTTGTGAAATGGATAATACTTCACGGGGAAGTACGGTGAGATTAGCAATCCTCTCTCTTCCTCCTCCCCACCCCCACAGGGACACTGGGGCTTAAAATCAGGACTTCATGCTCTTGCTAGACTTTTGTGGTGGTTGTTTACAGCAGATGCTCTACCATTTGAGCAATCCTCCCATTACAGCCTTTTGCTGATTATTTGAAGGTAAGAGTCTCTGGTTTGTCCGCCTGGGCTAGCTTCAAACCTCAATCCTCAAGTCTGAGCTTTCTGAGTAGGATTATGGGCATGAGCCACAGGTTCCTGGTTCATTTAGGAATCTTCATTTAGGATTTGTAAATGACCCATTTCTAAACAAATGGGTTTATTCACATCAGTACTGGGCAGAATGTAGGTCCACAGTGCCCATTCCTAACAGTTCCAATTGATTTAAGTGACCAGACGGTCCCAGTTTGGGGCAATGGCAGTCCCTTCAAGCTAGTGGTTGGTATCTGTCCAACATGTCTACATCACTCCCTGCCACACATATCTGCCACAGATATGTGTGCGGTATTTACTATGCACCAACGATGATGAAATATCATCATTGTGGGGGAAATTCTAGCCTACGCAGAGGCGCACCTTCATCCTTTTGTATTGGTGAACCACCACACTTCTCCATGACTTGCAAACATCCTCCAAAGTTGATTGCCAGGACGGGCTGGACCAATGGCAGTCAGTCCATGAGTTGGAATTGACTCAGTGGGAGTGAGGTGTTCACCCGGCAAAATTTCACCATTCCCAGAACCAGCTCCACCCAGCGTTAATAGCATCTTCCCAAATGAATCATCAAACCTGTCTCTCCTAGCACGATCTATTGGGATGGAAGAAGTAGGCTAGTTTTGCAGTATTTCTGACATTTCAGCCTAGAAACTGACCCTCTTCATGTGCAGCAGAGTATCACCAACATTAGTAATAACAGCAGATAACAGCTATTGAAAACTATGTTTAAAGCCCAATGAGTTTACTTGAATTTTTTTTTTTTTTTTGGTGGGATTGTTTTGGGAGTAGTAGGATTTGAATACAGTTCCTTGAGCTTACTAGCTGGGGGCTCTACCACTTGAGTCCCGTCCCCAGCCCCTTTTTGCTTTAATTGTTGGGTCTTGAATTTGTTCCTAGGCTGTCCTGGACCACCATCTTCCTATGTGTACTTACCACATGGCTGGATGATGGGCATGTGCTACCACGTCCAGCTTTTTGTCCCCCTATCAGTTCTGATAGGGTCTTGCAATTGCTTTATGGAGGGGGGCTGGCCTAGGCCTCAAACCGGGATCCTCCTGATGGCCACCTCCTGAGTAGCTAGGATTACAGATGTGAGCCATGGCACCAGGTTCCAATGTGTTTGCTTCCTAATCGTGTGGCCCTCGGGCAAGTCACTGTTGGTAAGTTTCTTATGGTGAAAAATGAGCACCCACTTTAACTATATGTTTTATGGGTTTCTTCTTTTTTTCCCTTTTTTGGTACCAAGGATTGAGCCCAGGATGATGCACTTACAAATCAAGCACTTTGCCACCGAGTTACATCCCAGTCCATCCACCCATTTTCAAACAACTGAAATGTGGTTTGAAACAATGGAAATTCATAATCGCACAGTTCTGGAGGCCAGATATCTCAAATCAGCATCGCCGGGGCTGTGAGGTCTCTTCTCCATTCTCATGGCTCCAGGCGCTCTTATGGCCACATTACCCTCTTCTTCCACACATACTGTTCTTTACCCTTAATAAGGACACGTGTAACATCACTGTAACACATGCCTGAGTTAAACAACTTATAAAGGGAAAAGGCTCCTCTTGGTTTAGTTTTCTTTTTTCTTTTTTGGCCAATCCTGGGGACTGAATTCAGGGCCCGGGCTGTATCCCTGAGCTTCTTTTGCTCAAGTCTACCACTTGAGCCACAGTGCCACTTTCGGCCTTTTCTGTTTATGTGGTACTGAGGAATCGAACCCCGAGCTTCATTCATGCAAGGCAAGCACTCTACCACTAAGCCACATTGCCAGCCCTAGATTTTTAAAGAGTTTGAGTCCATGACAAATTGGCCTCCTTGTGTGGGCCTCTGGTGACGTATCATGGCAGGAGCACAAGGCAGAACAAAGGGCTTACCAGGAGATAAAACTAAGTTACCAGGGTCCTGTAATACTTTTCAACAACACACCAACAGCCTGGAGACCTCCCTCTAGGCTCCGCCTCTGAAAAGTTCCACTACCTGTTGTGACATTCATGGGCTGGAGACCAAACCTTTAACATATGAGCCTTTCGGGGACATTCCCATTCAAGACTATAGTAGATGGCATTTAGGGCTCACCCAGATAATCCATAGTGGCCTTCCCATCTCAAGACCCTTGACTTCACCATATCTGCGAAGACCTCTTTTCCAAATGAGGTGACGTTGAGAGATCTCAGAATTAAGGTCTCCAGGAAGCCTACCCTACTTCCCTTCTGTAAGTCTCAGCCAGCTCATCTGTCACAGTAATAGCTTTGTCTCGGGACCCATGTGAGGTTTCACAGATAATGTGATTTTGGCAGTGGGCATGCTGGCAGGCAGGCCAGCTCATGCATCGAGTTCTTGAGTTATTTCTATCCAGGACTGGCAATTGTGGAGTAATTGATTCCAGTGCTAGCACGGGTCCCTCTGCCAGGCTGTCAGCAGGATTAAACATGCCAAATGGGGTTTTGTTGAGCCAGCTCCTCTGGGTGTTAAGCGCCACCTTGCCAACCAGCCTCGCTGGACAACAGGGCCTGGCTCCCGACTCTCCCTGATTAATGCCAAGGCAACAGCAGCCAATAGGCCCGCTTGCCGCCGTCTCTGGCAAACAGCCTGGCATACAGCAGCCAAATATTTAGACATTTTTTTTCAGTTATTGGTGAAAATAGTACTTTGGTTTTTTTTAGGCAGCACAGAGAGGGAGGCACCGCCCTGTCCTTGGGTCTGCCCAGGCAGGGTGACATTAATGGTAACCCTGTGCCTGCCACAGGACCGTTTATCTGGTGCACAGCCTAATGCCAAAGTGTGCCACCAGGTGGCGCGCTCCTGGGGAAACATTGCATATCCCGGTCTTAGTCTCTGTGACTCTTGTCTGACCTGGGTCTAGTTTCCTCTGATTGCCAGAGCCATTCTCTAGGACAGCCAGGCAGAATGGGTGTGGGACGGAGGCCTGGCTGGGCTGATTGGGTTGAGAGCAAGCAGGCAGGAGGCCACATGGAGCCTGATATACTTTGGTATATCTATGCAGTCAGTCCATGCAGGGTTTGGGGCACCTGAGCAGCTCATTGTACGTAGCTGCTTTCAGGGAAGGGGAGATAGGAAAGAATCCAGAGGTAGGTAAAGCCTTCTTCCTTCCCATCAAGCTGGTCTCCACTCATAATGTGAATCAAAAAAATCTGCTGAGCCAGGCGCTGGTGGCTTACGCCTGTAATCCTAGCTACTCAGGAGACTGAGATCTGAGGATTGCAGTTCAAAGCCATGTGGGGCACAAAAGCCAGTGAGACTCTGATCTTCAATTAACCACCAGAAAATCAGCAGTGGCGCTGTGGCTCAAAGTGGTCGAGAGCGCGCCTTGAACTGGGGAGATCAAGGGCAGAGTACAGGCCCAGAGTTCAAGCACCATTGACAGACAAAAAAATAAAATAAAATAAATCTGCTAGTGTTATTCAAGCAGAGGAATGTATCTTAGTCGATGGAAGCAGGCTGAGTAGCCCCAAGGCTCTGAATAGAATGTTCTGGAATGCATAGAAGGTTCTAGAATGTGATTCCATGTCTGGTCTCTTCTTTTTTTTGGGGGGGGGGGTCTGGTCGTGGGGCCTGAACTCTGGGCCTGGGCACTGACCCTCAGCTCTTCAGCTCAAGGCTAGTGCTCTACCACTTGAGCCACAGTGCCACTTCCGGCTTTTTTCTTTTTGCTTATGTGGTGCTGAGGAATCAAACCCAGGGCCTTGAGCATGCAAGGCAAGTGCTCTACCACTGAGCCACCTTCCCAGCCCCTGGTCTCTTTTTATGTACACAGGATCTGGTCCTGCCTATTAGAACAAGCTCTGCTGTACAGATCTGATTTCCAGACAGCGCTGGCCATACACCTCAGGAAGACCACCAAGGACAGGTGTCCCTGCATAGGTGTTTCTGAGTGATGTCTCCACACAAGGAAGGATGTACTGAGTGCAGTAGACCAGGAGCCAGATACCAGCAGCCCCGATAGCCCTTTCAGTCCTTTGTCACATTGCATGCAGAGGAGTGCATGGGCCAGCCATTTTTGGGTGGGTGAGCACAGCTTCTATAGGAGTTTGCAAAGGGGGTGGTGGTTGGCAGGTGAGATGCCTGGAAATCCCACACAGCTTGTGTGTGTGTGTGTGTGTGTGTGTGTGTGTGTGACCAATAAAGTGATTTTTTTTGTGTGTGCTGGTCCTGCGGCTTGAACTCAGGGCTTGGGTGCTGTCGCTGAGCTTCAAGCTCAAAGCTAGCGCTCTATCACTTGAGCCACAGCTTCACTTCGGGCTTTTTGGTGGGTTCTCCTGCCCGGGCTGTTCTTTGAGTCGCAATCCTCAGATCGCAGCCTTCTGAATAGGGAGGATGACAGGCGGGGGCCACCAGCAGCTGGCGGCATCTGGGATTTTTTAGCTCTCCAGATGGTATTCGTGTGTCGCCGTGCTGGAGAGCCATTGGCTGACAGTCTCCTCCTCTGTCCTATCGCCTTGATTTCTACCTTCATCCCGGCCAGGCGCGGCGACAGCCGCTTTCTTCTCCATCCTTCGGTTGGCGGCGATTGTGGTCGCTCCCCCTCCCACCACGAGGGGGCGCCACAGGACAAACCCGCAATGGTTTTCTTCTCGCGTCCACCATCGCGTTGGAGGTATTTTTGGCTCTCGCGGTGCTCCGTCGTCCGGGCCTCCGTTGCCCGGGCAACGAACGAGGAAACGGCCCGCCGCGGGTGCAGCGCGGGCTGGGAGACTTTCGAGCGGGACGAGCGGAGTCCGGTCGCGGGCATGCGGCAGTCCGAGCTCGGCGACTCTTGGGACACTCCAGGCGCAGAGAATCGTGAGTTGAGCGACTGAGCTCGGCCGGGAGAGCCAGCGCCGCCCCCCCGGCCCCGCACCGCGTCCGGGGTGCGCCGGGCCCTGCCAGCGGCGGCCGGGGGCCCGGCCTCCCTCGGCCCGCCCCGCCCCGCCCCGCGCCCCGCGGATGGGAGGGCCTGGAGGCCGAAGGGTTTGCAGCCTGGCTCGGAGGGCGATCGGGTCGGAATCTCGAAGCTTTTAGCTTGCTGGTGGCAGTGATGTCTCCCGCGGGCGACCCTCCAGTCTGGAGACGCGGGTGTCACCTTTGGCAGAGGCGGTGGCTTGACGATCCGGGGACCGGAGCCGCGGCGGGTCCCGGGCAGAGGCCGCCCCCAGGCCGCGCTCCGCCCCCGGGGCTGTGGGAGCCCCGCCGGGCCCGCGCGCTGCTCCCCGCGCGCACCGCGCCGAGGCCGGGCTCGGGTCTCCGGCGGCCGTCCTTTAAGCTCCCACCTCTTCTTCATTTCCTCTTGATGCCGAGCTCTGGGATGTTGGACGATTCTATTCCCGGCTTCCAACTTGAACTTCCTCATCTGAGCAGTAATGGAGGTGCTTGGCAAGGATGGAAAAGGTCATGTCAAAGGCTGGGCACATCCTTGATGTCTCCTGTGGGTTGTTTTTGTTTCTTAAACTACATTTTTAGGGGCTGGGAAGGTGGCTCCGTGGTAGAGTGCTTGTCTTGCATGCATGAGGCCCTGGGTTCGATTCCTCAGCACCACATAAATAGAAAAAAACAGAAGTGGTGCTATGGCTCAAGTGGTAGAGCGCTAGCCTTGAGCTGAAGAGCTGAGGGACAGCGCCCAGGCCCAGAGTTCAGGCCCCATGACTATCTCTCTCTCTCTATTTGTATATATATACACACACACACATATATGCACATATATGTATGCATTTTTATAATATATATTTGTAACAGCTTTACAAATAAAGACAATGACTTCTTTTTTTTGGCCAGTTTTGGGGCTTGAACTCAGGGCCTGGGCACTTGTTCCTGAGCTCCTTTTGCTCAAGGCTAGCACTCTACCACTTGAGCCACAGCACTACCTCTGGCTTTTTCTGTGTATGTGGTACTGAGGAATCGAATCCAGGGCTTCATGCATCCCAGGCAAGCACTCCACCACTAAGTCACATTCCCAGCCCAGCAATTTTTTTTTTTAAGCCAAATCGGTTTAATGCAAAAGTTGAAGTATCATTGTTTTGAAAATTCATAATTATGGGGAGTTTTTCAGAGTAGAATCATTTATTTCACCTAGTGGCTCTTAGAATTGTTTGCTCTCGTGTGTTGTGTTTGTTGGTCTCAAAACATATGCCATTTGTACAAGGGCTCGTAATTCATTGATAAGAACTCGGTAACACACTCCTTGAATGATGGTGCCCTGAAGTGACTTTTTTTTTAACCAAAAATAAAAACAGGAAAGTGAAATAGTTAAAACACGATAAGCAATTAAGCATAGTGCATTTTTGAAAAGCTGGTGTAGAGCTGGCTGGGCAAATCTAAAAGAGACTAGAGCAAAAATAAAATTTCTTTGAAGGAGAGAGAATCCTATTTAGCAGTCAGGACACTTGATGAGCTGTTGGGCACAAGGATTTAGCCTCAGAAAGGAGCTAGCATGGCTAAAGCTTAGTTAGGCCTTCAAGAGGCTTAGCTTGCTTAAAAGCTTAAGAATTTAAAACTAAGTCTAGCTATGCAAGAAAAGTTGTAACTTTTTTTGTTTTTATTAATTTATTTTTTTCTGTCCCTGGAGCTTGAACTCAACACCTAGGCATAGTCCCTGAACTTTTGTGCTCAAGGTTAGTGCTCTACCACTTTGAGCCACAGCTCCATTTCCAGCTTTTTGGGTGGTTAATTGGAGATACGTGTCTCATGGACTTCCCTGCCCTGGCTGGCTTTGAACTGCTATCTTCAGATCTGAGCTTCTGAGCAATTAGGATTATATTTGCACACTGCCATGCCTTGCTTGTCTTTGTTACTTTACGCAGAGCATGGAAGTCCCCTGTGTGTATGGACCAGCACTTCCAAGACAATCCCTGTCTGGTCTGCTACTGGGCACAATTCAGGTTCATTTAAATTGATGATTTGAAGCTTTAGTGTCAGATCATTTGACAAAATGGTGCCTGGGCCACAGTCTGGGGTTCTTATTATTCTGTTGATCTGTACTGGAGCCCGGTCTTGATGCTTTATCGGGTGATTTCTTGGTGCAGCAAATAAGGGGCAGGGGCGGGCCACTCATTACAGAGAGGAGGGTTTCTGGTCTTTACCTACCTCTGCTGTCCCCCTCAGATGGCACTGCCCACGCTGCCTTCTTACTGGTGCAGTCGGAGGCTCCTGAATCAGCAGGTCGTGCGCCAGCGCCAGCGCGAGCAGGAGGCCCAGCTTCGGCAGCAGTGGGAACTGAACCACCGTTATTTCAAGATGTCTGACGTCTGCAGCTCCAAACAGGCAGAATGGAGTTCCAAGACCTCCTACCAGCGGAGGTAAGTGTGGTGACTGCCTGTTTGATGGAAGTGGGGGCCACTTAGTGGTCAGGGGATGTGGCCTAGGGTGTGTTGAAGTAGTACATTCTCCTAGAAAAAGATAAAATGACAGAAGAGCACTGGTGAGAGCTAGAATCCTCCTCGTAAGCTTCTACCTCAAAGAACCATGGTTCACGGTGGGCTTCCTCCCATTTATGTTTACGTATACAGAAACAAAAAAACCAACTGGTTCTTTTGGTGTTGGTACAGGGACTTGAACTCAAGCCCTAAGTGCTATCCTTTAGCTTTTTCACTCAAGGCTGGCATTCTCCCACTTGAATCACAGCTCTACTTTGGCTTTTTGCTGGTTAGAGATAAGACTCTCACAGACTTACATGTATGAGCTGTTCCTGGCGAAAAAATAGTTTTTATAGAAATACATGTACAGTCATGGAGGCCAGTACTATAATCTGGAAAGGTAGACAGACCTAGAAAGAAATCCTGGCACACGACTTGTGCACGCATAAGCCTCAGTGTCCTCATCAGTAAGGGCCAAACCCAGTCTACTTCATAGGACTTATGTGACAAGTAATACAAAACCTTCCTTGTATATCTGACCTGGCACAGAGTAATTGCCCAAACAACTAGCTACTACTACTGTCTGCACATGCATGTAAGCCTGTTGTTTTTGTTTGAGAAAACAAGGTGTTCTAATATGCATTGTGTGCTGTGACATCCTCTCTTCACTCTGGCTGGGGACTCCAGTCACATCCCTGTTGTGTCTGCCTCAGCCTTTTACCCACATGGAGGTGCATAGCTTGCATACCACTTGTGTCTGTAGTGTAAAGGATATTGTGGTGGGCTCCTTACCCAGCATGCACGCCTACCAGCGGGAAAAGATGAAGGAGGAGAAGAGGAAGAGTCTGGAGGCCCGACGTGACAAGCTCAGGCAGCTTATCCTGGAGGAGCAGGACCTGCTGGCCAGGGAGCTGGAGGAGCTGAGGCTGAGCATGAGCTTGCGGGAAAGAAGAATCCGGGAGCAGCACAGGAATCTAAAATCAGCTCGAGAGGAGCAAAGGAAACTGGTATGTGGCCTAGCACTCAGGAGACATCGCAGCCTTTCAGTGGTCACGCCTGTGGCTTCATCTCTGACTGCTCTGCTCGAGCAGAGTGTGTTTTGTGTGACTCAGCTATCTTCTCTTCAGTCTTGTGGCCCACAAAGGCCTGGGATGGGCATGTTTTGTCCTCCAAAGCAGTTGTGTGAAAAGTGAGCCTCAGTCTGCTTATTATTAGAAAGGACCCACCTGGGTCGTCAGTGTGGCCCCTTCCGTCACCACTGCAAGAGCCAGCTGTGTCAGCCATTGTGCTCAGATGCTCTGCTCCCAGAGCTGTGAAGCTGCGGGTGCACAACAAGCAGATGTGCACAGAGCAGGCAGCGATAACGCGCAACCGGAGCAGCTAAGGGCCCGAGCTGATGTCCCTTGAGCTTCATCCAAACTGTGAATGGCTTTGGAAAGCCATAGCAAGCTTCCTTTCCTGTGTTTTCTTGACAGATTGCAGAGCAACTTCTGTATGAACACTGGAAAAAGAACAACTCAAAACTAAGAGAGGTAAAAAAAAAAATCAAGAACCTGCCACTGATTTGCCTGAGTAGATGAAATCATGTTTGCAGATTTTTCATATGTGCCTTTGCTGTGCTAGACAAGAGGCTCCAGCCACCAGGCAGATCTGGTGGACATGGGCCTGAGCCGTTTATCAAATTCACAAGCATTCGTGAACATTGCTGCATGCCTACTGTGAGGGGGCACTCCCCTTGCTGGTAAGGAGCTCACTACCCAAGGGGAGCCACTGGGCCCCTTGTTCCTGTGCAGGGTGCAGGGCTTTGGACAGTGGTGTTGAGGAGGCATTCTATAGGAAAGGAAGAGTTTGGAAGGACTGGAGGTTTTAACTTGAGTGAGGTGACAGAAATCTAGATGGGGTGGCTTTTCCAGTCATCTCATGCCGCTGCGCACATGAGAACAGAGTAAGTCCTGGGCGCCCAGGACGGGCACCCTAAAAGATGAGGCTCAAGGCAGACATGCCAGATCTTGGATGACTCTGGTCTTTCTGGAGGCACCTGGACTGCCTTTCACAAAGGTACAGGGACCCTGGCAGGAGTCTGCTAGGAGGCTGCTGGAAGAAGTAATGCCAGTTGAGGGGATTGAGGGATAGGGAAGGCTTGAACTTGGGTAGCAGGAGACAGGAGGATGGATGTAAGAGGAGGCTGGCTTCTTGGCTTGGTGGCACCAACAGCAGAGACTGCTCTTACTAGAATCTTCATTTAGTTCAACTTAAGTGTTTGTACACATTGGTGCTGTTTATTCATAGTTATATTTAGAATGGTTGGTTACTCAGACATGGAGTATTGTGTGGTCAGTGCTCTCTCCCTGGCCATCTCTCAGCCTACGTGGCTCCTCTGAAGTTATTTATCCGGAGACATTTATTCAGATCATTCAAATTAGTTCACATTTGCTAGTGGGGAGAGGAATTTTTAAACTTTTTTTTTTGGCCAGTCCTGGGGCTTGAACCCAGGGCCTGGGCACTGTTCCTGAGCTTTTGCTCAAGTCTACCACTTGAGCTACAGCACTACTTCTGGCTTTTTCTGTTTATGTGGTACTGAGAAACTCAGGGCTGCATGCATGTTAGGCAGTAAGCCACATTCCCAGCCCATTTGAAACTTTTTAAACAATTTTCCAAACCAAAGCTTTTGGATAGGATTGTCATTGAGCTTGTGATTTAGAAGGTTCTCTGAGCCCATATCTGTTACCCTAACCGCAGATACGTTGCAGCTGCTGTAATGTCATTTGTCACCAAGAGCAACATTCTCGCAGCTGCTGCTCCAGAGGATGGTTCTGGAAGCCAACCTCAGGGGAAACTGGTGTCTAATCCAGCAGTTTCTCTGGATCAGGGGCCTGGCACTTTACACCAATCAGAGGCACCTTTGAAACTGCATCTCCAGTTCAGTGTCTGCTGACACATGCTGCTCATCCCAGGGCACTGTTACTTAGTTCCAGCACGCAAGCTTGACTTTAAATTTTTGTTGGCTCCCATTTAGACCGTAATTGTTGGAGCATCTCTGTATCTGTGGCCACTCTGGTAGGCGGCACGGAGGGTAGCATGCCTTCAGTGTGTCTCATGAACAGTATGTCTCAGTATGTCTTATAAACTGGTGAGGGAATCATTCTCCCTTCTCTTCCTGAGATTGAGTCGGACCTTCACAAGAAGCATGTGATAAGCTCTTGGGAAACGCAGAAAGAAGAGAAGAAACAGGTTGGTTTGTGACTCTGGAACTGGTTCCACATAACTTTAAGTTTGTCTTGTTTTGGGTACGATGGGAGTCCAGCCCCTTTCTCAGTTTACTTGCCATGTGTTAAGTTGCGTGCTTGTTCATACACATCTGAAGATCCCAGGCCACCATTCCTCAGATACAGTGAGGCCAGGTGAGCAGGACTGGTAGATGGAACGTTTTTTGATGTATTTTATTTATTTATTTTTGGTTGGTCATGGGGCTTGAACTCTGGGCTTGGGCGCTGTCCCTGCACTCTTCAGCTCAAGGCGAGTGCTCTACCGCTTGAGCCACAGGGCCACTTCCAGTTTTCTAGTGGTTTTTTATTGGAGATAAGAGTCTCACAGAGTTTCCTGCCCGGGCTGGCTTTGAACCGCGATCCTCAGATCTCAGCCTCCTGAGTAGCTAGGATTACAGGCATGAGCCACTGGTGCCCGGCTTGTTTTTTATTTTTTTTAATTGGTCTTGGGGCTTAAACTCAGGGCCTGGGTGCTGTCCCTGAGCTTTTTCTCTCAAGGCTAGCACTCTTACCACTTTGAGTCCAGTGCCATTTCCAGTTTTCTGGTGGTTAATTGATGAGTCTCTCAGACTTTACTGCCTGGGCTGGCTACAAACTGCAGTCCTCAGATCTCAGCCTCTTGAATAGCTAGGATTATAGGTGTGAGCCACTGGTTCCTTGTTGGGCATGTGTCTTTAAGGGCGTTTTTGGTCGATGGCCTCAGCACTCAGCCTTGCTGTGGTGGCGGCTCTGGGGCAAGTGTCCACACCGTTGCTTTGCCTCCAGGTTCATTTTGCAAGGTGCTTGCTGACTCGTGGCGGGGGGAGGAAACCTGGGATTTCTGAATCCCTCCCTTTGCTCCTTGCTTGGGTTGCAAAGATAGGGCAGAGCCCGTGAGGGCCCTGTGGCCTGCTCTGGCAGCAGGGAGTTGGGTCTCTGCTGGCTGCACTGAACTCCCAGGTTCACTTGGCCTCTTGTAGCAAGAAGCTGCAGAAGAGGAGGAAAACAAGCGGCATGAAAATGAATATGAAACAGCCCGAAGGGAAGCGCTGGAGCGGATGAAAGCGGAGGAGGAGAGGCGGCGGCGGGAGGATAAGCTGCAGGCTGAGGTGCTGCGCCAGCAGATGGAAGAGCTGAAGCTGAAGGAGATGGAAGTGAGTGCTCCCAGCAGGGGCCTCTGCACTGCTGTGCGCATGGGGGTGAAGCTCATCTGGAGATCAGAGCCGGCCTGGCATCTCTCTTCTCTCCGTGTTCTCTCCCATGGTTCTCCCATTGTGCACCTACATTCTAGAACATGAACATTCTAGAAGTGATTCCTGACCTCTTAGATGGCCTGTGAGACCTTTTAAGAGGCTTCTCAGAAGAATGTGGATTTTCAGGTGCATCAAGCAGCCAGGAGAGTGGGAGGGGGGGGCAGTGCACCACCCATGGGTCTCAGGACATAAACCACAAGAGTTCTGGGCCCAGTGGTGTCTGTTGGGAACTATGCTCAGTTTCCCTGAGATGGCTGGGTCTTCCTTCTCAGATGAAGGGAGTCCCTTCCTTTCCCCTGACCTGCAGGTGCCATTTACTAGACAGTGCTTACCACTGAGTCTGCATGCTAGAGGTAGAGCTTGGGCAAGGTCCTCATTCCAGGTGGCACCATGGCTGCTGCGTCAGCAGAGGGAGACGGAGCTAAGTTAAAGGAAGTGTGGACCAGTGAAGGAAGTGCACAGGGCTGGGAGAGCTCTCACAGAAGGGGTTCAGCTGGGGTTGTACAACTAGGCTACTTAAACTGGGCCAAGGGGCTCAGGCCCCAGGCAAAGTGGAAGGGGTCACGAGCAGCAGGGTGGCCAGGCTTGTGTGGTACCTGCCACAGTTGCGGGGAGTGGGGGAGGGCGGGACGGAAGGCCTGGTAGCCAGTCTCACTGGGTTGTGTGACCACAGGCCAGCAAACTGAAGAAGGAGCAAGAGAATCTGTTAAGGCAGCAGTGTGAGCTGGAGAGGCTGGAGGAGGAGAGAAGGCAGACAGCGTCCTTCCTGCGCAAGGCAGAGCTCGGGTGTGTGGGAGCCTCCAGGGGAGGACTTGGACCGGGTTCCTGAACTACAGGGGATGTAGCCTGGAGTGGGCCATCGTCTCACTTTATGCACCTTTTAGGCGCTTTTTGAAGCATCAGTATAATGCACAACTTAACAGACGTGCCCAGCAGATCCAAGAGGAACTGGTGAGTCTGAATCCCCCACTTTGGCAGCTCTGTCACCCTCCTTGAAAAAAGTTATTTTCATTGCTTAGACGTGGGTGCCTTCTCTTTTAAAAAAGAATGAAAACTGAATGCTGGGGAAATAGGCGATGTAGGTCCAAGTTGTAAGATGAAGTCTACAGATGTAAAGTACACGTGGGGTTACAGACAACAGTGCTGTTGTGTTTGCAATGCAGGGGCTGGAGCGGGGCTCTGTGCTGGAATACACTTAACGAGCATGGGGCGCTGGGCTCAATCCCCAGCCTCACATGCAAACTTCCTAAAACTAAGTAGTCTGTCTTTACCACAAATACAAGTGACTATGGCTAGGTATGATAGTACATGCCTGTAATCCCAGCACTTGGGAGGTAGATGCAGGAGGATCGTTGTTTGAAGTCAGCCTTGGCTGCATAGGGAGACTGTCTCAAAAAGAAAATGTGACTATGAAGTGTACAGTTAGCTTGACCGTAATAAAGCTGTACAGACACACTGTACGTAGCAGGTCATTCTCCATCTGTGGGTTGTGTCTGGTTTTCCGTTTATATTAAGGCTGAAATGAGCCATTTGCGCATATCTTTGTGTGGCTGCTAGATTGTGTGATAGGATGGGTCTGTGGTAGCAGGGCTCTCTCTTCTTCAGTCAGAAGCTCCCGGGCCTGTGCAGCCTCTGAGCCATACTTGCATGCTTCTCAGCCCAGCATCTATCTTTCTCCATCTTGAGAACACGGAGGAGCCCACATGTCTGTATGTGACTTGTTTGGGGGGTAAGGTGGGCAGGAACGGCACCACAGCTCTGACAGCCCACCCACTGGCCACCCCCCTGCCTGCAGGAGGCAGACAGGCGGATCCTGCAGGCACTACTGGAGAAGGAAGATGAGGCCCAGCGCGCGCAACTGGCCAAGCGGGAGCAGGCCTTGGCTGATGCGGCTTGGATGAAGCAGGTCATCGAGAAGCAGCTGCAGCTGGAGAGGGCAAGGGAGGAAGAGCTGCAGGTGCTGTTGAGGTGAGGTGGCTGCTGCCTGGGCAGGGCAGGGCATCCACCAAGAGGACACTGTTGACTGAGGTATCTGCTGGAATAACTTACCTGCTATTCTCTCATGTCTTTGCTCCTGGATTGGCTTGTGGGGGTGTTTACCTTAGGTTATTTGGAGTTTGTGGCAATGATCCATTTATCGACCATCTTAGAAGCCTATAAGAATACAAATTAGGGAAATGGTGAATGCTTCTTGGGTCTATAAAAATGAGTCTGGGGCCTAATTCTGTTTTGAGTTGGGAGTCTTGTTAAGTTGTCTAGGCTAGTCCCCAATTCCTGGGCTTAAGTGATCCTCCTGTCTCAGCCTCTCGAGTAGCTGGAACTGCAGGTCTGTGCCACTGGACCTAGCTTTGGGTATAAAAGGTAAACTGTCTGGCTGAAATAATTAAGCAATTGGCAAATGCGGTGTCTTGCAGTTCTCCCATTACTATATACTGACCACCAAGCTCCTCCTGGAGATTCTAGGTCACTTGCTTGCTCAAGGGTGGGCTAGCAGTCACCCCAGTTGGTGGGGACACACTCAGACACAGGCAGTGCCTCCCTAAGTCTCGATGGTTTCATTCAGTGTTAGATGGCTGTGCCGCAGGTTGGCACAAGTGCCTAAAAGGAGATGAGATACAAATAACTTCAAGATGCTTATAACAATGCTTTCTGTGAATGTTGTGCTTAATTGTAATCTTTGAAGTCTATGTGGTGAGTTTACTTGATGCTTGGCCCGATGTGTGCTGCTCAGACCATGTGTTCTGTGGCACCATCTCTGCCATTAGTGCTGGATGGAAAGTGTCATTGCTTTTTGTTTGCCAGGGAGGAAGCCAAGGAGATGTGGGAGAAGAGAGAGGCAGAGTGGGCTCGCGAGCGGATGGCGAGGGACAGACTGATGAGCGAGGTAACCCCAGCTGTGGGATGGATGCTGCTAGCCATTGGTCCTGGGTGGATGGCTGGACTGACATTCCGATCCTGTCACATGTTCTGGAAACCATCTGTGTTGGTTATTTTGTGGGGTTTAAAAGCATTGTAGAGCCGGGCACTGGTGGCTCACGCCTGTAATCCTAGCTACTTAGGAGGCTGAGATCCGAGGATTGTGGTTTGAAGCCAGTCCAGGCATGAAAGTCTGTGAGACTCTTATTGCCAATTAATCACAGAATAAGCTGAAAGTGGCACTGTTGCTCAAGGGCTAGAGTGTTAGACTGGAGCAAAAAAAGAGCCCGAGCTGGGCACCAGTGGCTCACACCTGTAATCCTAGCTACTCAGGAGGCTGAGAGCTGAGGATCACGGTTTAAAGCCAGCCCGGGCAGGAAAGTCTGTGAGACTCTAATTTCCAATAAACCACTAGAAAACCAGAAGTGGCGCTGTGGCTCAAACGGTAGAGCGCTCACCTTGAGCCGAAGAGCTCAAGGACAGCGCCAAGCTCAGAGTTCAAGCCCACGACAGACCAAAAAAAAAAAGCCCGGGGGCAGTGTCCAGGCCCAGAGGTCAAGTCCTAGGACCAGCAAAAACTAAAAGCATTATAGAAGTAATATAAACTCATTAGAAATTCAGGCGTATAGGATGTTCACATGAAAAAGTCGCCCAGAGTCCTGTCAACCACAGGCACTGCTCCTTCTTCTACTGGGTCTATGCGTGCCATCTTTCCTATGTAGCTTACACTGTGCTATTTGATCTCAAGCATCCTTGTATGGTACTGCAGGGAACATCTGGTATGGGAGGGTCCTCTAGCACAGGATAACAACCAGAAATGGACCAGTATGTGTGTAAAAGATACGGCCCAGCCCTGGGGGAACCTGCTGGAGAAAGTCTTGGTCATCCCTGCATTGAAAAGTGATTTTAAAGTGGTTTAGAAAGAGAAATTATTCTACATTTTGAAATTGGTGATTTCTTTCTTTTGTGAATACCAAATATTCCCCAGTGATTTTTGATTTTCTGATTTCCTTTTAAATTTCCCATGTGGCAAGCAGGCTGTTGGGTGTTGTCTGATGGCTTCCTGAGTCCTGCTGACTTCTAGACCAGTGATGGAATGTCACAGTGCTCTTGGGCCAGGACCCAGACAGCAGGTTTCTGAGGCACGGAGCAAACAAGCTAGACTTCCTCTGTGTGGCTTGTGGGTTTTCCTTGTCTGAAGCCACTGGTAGAATGAGTCTTACCTTGTTCCATAAGGCTTCTCTGTCCTAGGGGAGGGGTCGGTCTCATACAGCCACATCTGTGTGGGAGAGAGTGGCAGATGTGGCCCACATGGGCTGGACTAGCCCTATGTGCCTGTGCGCTAAGGCTGCAGCCTGTCCAGGCTTACACTAAAAGGAGGACCTTCCCTTTCCTGTTGTTGAGGACAGGTTCTAACAGGAAGGCAACAACAAATACGAGAGAAAATTGAACAGAACCGGCGTGCACAGGAAGAGTCCCTAAAACACAGGGAGCAGCTCATTCAGAGTCTAGAGGAGGCAAGGGAGTCGGCTCGGCGTGCTAAGGAGGAGAGTGAAGAACTAAAGTTGGCCAGGAAGCAGGAGCTGGAAGCCCAGGTAAAGCTGAGCTCAGAGGCAGAGATGGCTTCTGCAGGGAGACAAGGACCAGCGGGCAGCGGGCTTTTTTTTTTTGTAGAACAGGGTTCAAAGGCCCCCAGCTCATTCCAGTGCCTGCTCATGGCTGAGTGTGGTGTATCCCTTTTAGATCCACTCCAGATCCATGGCTTGTGCTAGTCTATTGTTGTCTTTTCCTGCCATCAGCCTCTGCCAGCAGCTGCTTTATATATTCATTTTAGAACCTGCTGTATAACAGAGAATGTTCTCCCAGGCACGGTCACATGCAGAACTGACAATGCCCACAGCCCCACTCCCATGGCCTTTTCCACTCTGCAGCTTCCCTTTCTGTTTGCTGGCACTTACCATTACTGTTCTTTATTGATCCTCCAGCCCAGCCAGGATCTAGTCGTCCTTGCTCAGAGACAGGATCTGCCCCTGTGCTTCCTGTCTCAGGTGACTTTGTTCTTGATACCCAGGTTGCAGAGCGCCAGCTGCAGGCCTGGGAAGCAGACCAGCAGGCGAAGGAAGAAGAGGAGGCGGCCAGGCAGGCAGAGCAGCTCTCCGATGCTTGGCTGCAGCAGGAGATGAAGACCATGACCCAGCAAGGCTACCGGCCCAAGGTAAGAGTCTGCAAGGTGCCAGGCACTGCAGTCCTGAGCTTGGCTCTGCTCTCCGTCAGTCCCAAGTTCTTCCTGCTTCTCTTTCCTTGGATGCAACCTGAAGCAGAGTTTGTTGCTGACCCTCAAGTAGTCTGACTGCTGAGCGGTGTGGTTGTCCACTGGTGCTGGGGACAAAGCACAATATAAGAGCAGTGGCCGCAGTGACATTGGGCCTAGGTCCTGATGGCTTACCTGCCTCTCATTGTTTCCCTTCTTTGCATCATTCTGTAATAGCTCTTAAGTATGAATGATCCCTCAGGAGGATACTGTGGGCAACACAGAGACAGAAAGAAAGGCTGTTACCCTGAAGCCCCTGGAGCTGACTGAAGGTCTCTGCTTGCCAGGGCCACCTGGGCTTCTGGTACTCTAAGGTGCACCCCCACGACCTGTGCCACCCAGCAGGAGGGTTGGCTGCTTCTAGTCAGATAGCTAGGGAATGGAGGGGAGCAAGGTTAGAGTATTCTGATTTCCTGGAGAATTTTAATGCCCTAACGTGCAGAGGGCATTCCTTAGGAGTGCAGGGAAACAGCATTTCCACCTCCTGCCTCCACAGCACGGAATTAATGAGTACAGCAGGATCTGCGTTCACAGAACACACAGGAGCATGTTTCTTTTTTCTTTTTTGCCAATCCTGGGGCTTGAACTCAGGGCCTGGGGACTGTCCCTAAACTGCTTTTTGCTTAAGGCTAGTACCACTAGGCCACATTTCCAGCCCAGGAGCATGTTTGTCAGGGCAGGTGCTTCATCCAAGGCTAAGGGTCAAGGCTTTCTTAGCTATATACGAAAGCTGTCGTTCATGCTGTGTTTTTAGCTCTTAAGTGTGGAGTTAATTCCCAGTGTTCCAAAGCCTGCTCATCTCATTAATCTTATGCTTGTTTTCTTTTCTCAGCCTTATGGACATCCCAAAGTGGCGTGGAACTGAGCTCATTGGTGCCATCAGCACAGGGAAGGGCACCAAGTCTGTCATGCGCAGCTGCCAGGCAGCTGTACAGTGCTTGGTTCAGGTCGGGCTTCAGAGCACTGTTGGGTAGTCCAGCCACACTTGCTCAGGTACATGAGGCCTGGCCAGACATTGTGGTGCTGGGGGTATGCCCCACCGAGATACTTCCTTGCTTTTCTCCTCCAAGACAGGTCTCAACAAGTTCACACAGCGCTGCCAAGTCTTAGGTTTATAATGTAAGATCCTAGAAGGATACTAAGAGCTACCTGCTGTTCTCCATGGCAAGATAGGTTTCTTCTAACCCGTAACTGTCAACCATCAATGAAGACTGAAGACAAAGTTTTCTCTTTTTAAAATTTCCATTTACATTTAATTATTGCCTTGAAAACAGAGATCTTGGTGCAGTGTATGTTGAGGTTTATTAACTTAGTGGTCCCAAAGGAAGAAAAGTAATATGAACTAATGACCCCTCCCCAACAGTGTGGTGGGCAGTCCCTGGATGCTTTGTTCAAAGGTGGCGAGAAGCAAGTCTGCCCTTCCTCAGGCAGTGTCTTGTCAGAATTTCTGTAGAAGGACTGCAGGGTGGGCGGGAGCTCAGTAGCAGAGTGCTTGCCTAGCAGATGCAAGGCTCAGTACCATAAGAAAAAATTTCCAGAGCATCGTGCTCAAGGGTCCTCACCTGACCAACTAGGCAGGGGCAAGATACTAGGGAGCTCTAGGGCCTACTGGGGGTTATATACGTAGAGGATCTGTCCAAGACAGAACCACAGACATCCCCATCTCTCCTCTGTTCCATCAGTGTGACACAGTTCTTAGTTTGTTGCTTCAAATAGCTACAGCTCCTTGCAGCCATTGTTTTTATGATCTGTATTTTCCCATACTCTTTCTCTGAGGTTTCAATTTTCATTATGTTGTGCTCAAGTCTAGCTCAGTAAATTACAGCTAATTATGGGCATTTTCCTGTGGTTACTAGAAACCAGGGTTTATTAAAAAGTCCTGTTTAAGGGCTGTATTACCTTTTTCCTATTGTGCTATAAAAACAAATTGTGTTGCAAACTGTGTCATGACTCATTCTTTCCTTTTCCTGTCTTGAAGTTCTTGTGCTGGGACCCCTGAGCACCACTCTTCTCATGTCATGTATATTTCTGCATTTTGGATGTTCATTAATTGTGCAATAAAGTTCTGATCTGGTGGTATCACGTGTACTCTTTGTTACTGTTGCTGCAGTGTGGGTTGCCATAGGTAGCTTTTTACTGCTTTGTCCACATCTATAGGTCTGGGTTGTTTCCATGACTGCCACATAGTGAGTTACATTCATCTGGATCAAATGATGCCCCTTCCACTCATTTCCCCATAAGAAACAGAATTTATTAGGAGTCATACCCTGAACTCCAGTACAGAAGCAGTGGGGACAGAAGCCTGGCAGAAATCTTCCTTATTAGCATTAAAATTATGTCACTTTGTATCTCTATTATATCTAAACATAGCCTCCATACCTCTTGTTTTTTCAGACCAGGTCTCACTGGACCTAGAACTTTCTATGTAGCCCAGGCTGGCCTCCAGCTCAAGATCCCTCTGTCTTAGCCTCTTAAATTCTAGGAATGCAAATACATATCACCACACCTGGCCCACATTTCTTCTTAAAAGTTAACCAGAATAATTTCTGAATATAGAGCGATCACTTTCTTACTGTTCTTATTGGAACTCACATACCTCTTGAATGTGGATTTTGTTTTGTAGTTAGACATATAGTCACTGTCCAATAACAGGGATGCTTTTCCAGCAATGTGTAATTGCAACATTCTGAAAACAGTTTACTTAAACATACTTAGATGTTATAGCTTATTTCATCCATATGCTATATGGTATATATCCTGGAATAAGTGGTCCTCCATTGACCAAGACATTACACAGTGCATAACTGTTATATTGGTTTTATTGTTTCTAAGTACATTTTTCTACTCAAATGGTTTCTAGATTTTCTTTTTCAGCAGATTCTCTAAAAGGTCAATTCACACAGCCAGCAACACCTCCTAAGAGGCTGGTGAGGCAGACATTAGTATCTTAGCTTCACAGGAGTGAAGGAGAAGGAAGACGCCTGAGTCTCCACTCCCACCTGTACCTCTGCCAGGTTGAAGAACCACAACCTCTTCACCCTCTTCTGGCTCCTGTTCTGTGCTCATGTTGGATGAATGGATGCTTGCTCATGTCTGAAGCACCTTGTGGTTGAGAGAACACCCCATGCTCTGAACTGCCCCAGCTCGACTTGGGCACTGGAGGCAGAGCCTCAGCTTCCTTATTTGCAAAGAGGGTAACTGGCTACAAGATGTATGGGCTGGCTGGAAGACAGGAACAGTAAAACAGCACAAGGCCTCATATGTGCACACAGCAAGACCAAATTAGATTGCAAAAGGTCATTGTCTTGAAGGTGTTCTGGGAGAGAGAAGGGCTTACAGGACTGTGACAAATGGAAAAGGCCTTAGCAAAGTGAGCAGTAATCACCTGGGCTTTGGAAAGAGAAGTGTTAGGGAGCTGAGAGGACCAGAGGGGAAGGGGAGGAGGAGTTCAAGGAAGGAAGGGCTAAGAGGGATTTTGGAGAGGAAGATGGCCTAAAGTCCTTGGGGAGATACTGCATTTTAGAAGGGAAATGGGGCCAAGTTTTGAGCAAGCTGAACCTGTGTTCAGGGACCTAGAAAGCAGGGACTAGTGTGGAGAAAAGTTGGGGGTTCACTGGGGACTGAAGCAGTGCTTCATACCCACCTCATCTCCAGGTAGCCCTGCCCTTGGGGACCTGCTTTCCTGTGTACATATACCTGTAAAGAAGATGGTGTGATCTATAGTTTGGCTCCAGAATGGTTCAGGCTTCCAGCCGAGGTCTGCTGGCAGAGGTAACCTTGGCATGTCGACCACAGGGACTGGCTTCTGGTTCTTGTGTGCTCAGCTCCCTTCTTAAGCAGTCAGCAAGCTGTCTCTATGGGAAGTGCCCTTTGTGAAGCCCACAGATGGACGCTGCTCTGGTGATTTGAGCCAATGGGCAAAAGAGCCGAGCATCCTTTCAGTCAGACCCTCATTGGGCACTGGTTGGGTCCAGCTGCCAGGGACTCAAGGGGGAGCTAGACTCAGCACAAGAACCCCAGGCTTTGGGGCACAGGTTGACAGGGCTGTGAAAGCTGTTTACACAGGAGCAGTTGCTCACCTGCCCCTGCAAGATTTGAGAGGGTCGTGGACTTTGAGGCCATTGTGATGCCACCTGCTATCATGGCAACCAGCTTCCTGACCTTCTGAGGCCACTTTATCAGAGAGCCTTTGTTATGTGACTTCCTGATAGTGACTGAGACAAACTACAGCAACAGCAACTGAGACTCACCTTCCCTGAGTCAGGATGTCACGTCTTCATATGTCTAATTCCTCACCTGTCAGATGGAAGTAAACAATTCTTCACAGGATCCTGTGTGCTTGGCACAGAGTAAATGATTATTTCATGTTTCAAAACCATGTTTAAAAGCAGAGTACAAAAGTACATGTGAGGTCCTTGACCTACAGCATTGGGTCCAGGAATAGTGTGGGGAAGTTAGAAATGGTGGTTCCAGGCCCATCGGAGCTGTGAAGTCAGCAGCCCTGCAAGGATCCTTGGAAGCCCTGCCCAGGAGGCTGCCTTGGAGTAAGCTGCTGGTTCTGGGCCCCAGACAAGCTGGACCACACAGGAAAGATGCTCTACTTTCTCCAGACTACTTGCTCAGAAAAGGCCCTGAGATTGTCGGGTCCTTAACCCCACCCTTTCCATCTGGAAGAAGAGAGCCAAAGCCATCAGTCTCCAGAAGAAGACTGCTGGTGCCTGTGGGTGGCCCTGACAAGCCCAGATCTACACATCCATCTGTATAACAAGACCTTCTCTAAAAGTGAAAATAGACTCAAGGGTCTTAACAGATGGAACTAATTCTATGACTTCCTTACTTGCTGGGAAAGGGGTAAGGGCACATATACTGGACTGGCTTGGGATAGAGATCCAAGGCAAAAGCCTGGCGCTGGTGACTCACGCCTCTAATCCTAGCTACTCAAGAGGCTGAGATCTGAAGATTGTGGTTCAAAGTCAGACCAGGCAGGAAAATCCATGAGCTCATCTCCAATTAACCACCAGAAAACTGGAAATGGTGCTGTGGCTCAAGTGGTATAGTGCTCACCTTGAGCTGAAGAGTTGAGGAACAGCACCCAGGCCCAGAGTTCAAGCCCCATGACCGACAAAAACAAACAAAAAAACCCAAGGCAAAGAACTAGTATCCCAATGCAGGACTTCCTGCAATCCTAGCACTCTGGAGATGGAGGCAAGAATTCAAGGCTGGGGGAAGGGGGAGAAGCACTGGGGGAGGGGGGGAGGGGGGGAGGGATTGTAAGGGGAAACAGAGGAAGCAACAATGCTTGAATGCTTGCTTATGTAATTGTAACACCTCTGTATGGTATTTTCACAATTAAAAAAAAAAAAGAATTCAAGACCAACCTGGACTAACACAAAGTGAGACTCTGTCCAAAAAATCCCCCTACATGTCAAGCATAAAGGAATAGAAAGCTGGGAGCTCCAAAGGAGAGGAAAGTTAGACACTATCTAATTAAAGATGGTGTGATACAGGCTGGAGATGTGGTTCAAGTGGTAGAACACCTGCTTACCAAGTACAAGGCCCTCAATTCAATCCCAGTACCTCCAGACAAAAAGGAAGAAAAAAGATGAGGTTATGTGAGAGTTCCTCCCACACTTCCACTCAGTACTGGAAACGTCTCTACCAGCTGGCAAGAGGCACATGACCACAATGACACTTACAGAGCCTGTTTATTGCATAACTAGGAGGCATAAATTCCAAAACGATTTTACAACACAGGGTACAATAGTTACAGGAATAGGATGTACAATAAAAATGAGAGATAAGTACAGAATAATGAGTGACACAGATAAACACGTTTGAATAAAAGGCATCTCATTTTTTCCTATGCAGCATTTTCTTTTGTAAGAACAAGGATTGCCTTCAACCAGGACAAGGAAGAAAAGGAAGACTGGTGTCAAGGATGAAAACATGCTAGTTCCGCTCTCAGTTCTGTGAGTGAAGCTGCTGACTTGTGCGTTTACAGTTCCAATTGCATAAATACTATACTTGATCTTTGGGCCCAATCCACTGTTCTTTGGCAAATTAGAACTATCTGTATTCCGAGATGGAAGATGATTTTGGGGAAAGGAGCGTGGGGCCCAGTGTCAGTTCATAAAGTGCACCTCTGTCCTATCAGCTTAGAGAGCAAGTCATGTGGCAGGAATGGAGAATCAAGAATAAAGTGTTTTAAAAAATCTGACAGGATGTAGAGCTGGCTTGTACAAGGCTATGGAATCCCTGTGCAAGGGTGGCCAAGACAAATGTTCAGACAAGTTCTGAGCCCAGCTTCAGAATATGCTACAGAACCATGCAGGGCCCAAAGGACTCTCACCCCTCTTGCCACTGCTTGTCACTCCACATGGGAACTTCGGCCTGGGGTTTGGACTTGTGAGTTAACCAAGAAAACTGTATTCTCATGCTGGAAAGTCTGTGATCCCTATGTGCTTTGATTTTTTTCTCAGGGCACAATGACATACTGTAGCAGGTTCTAGTGTTCAGGAAAGACTGCTTTACCTTTTCCCAGAAGCCTCTTCCTCCCCTAGAGGCTAGGATTGCCCCTGGGCTTTCCCCAGGAACCCCAACGAGCCTGATAGAAAGCAAAGCAGGTTCATGAAGCATGCAGAAAAGGTTATCAGATAGTGCTTGAGCTTAAGGTAGGACACCCTTGTAGAAAGCATCTTCTAGGAGTGATGTGGCACTTGGGGCTGTGAGGACAGGTAAGTGGACAAGACTTCAGGGGATATGGGACTTTCCCACACTACCTCCCGTGTAGCCAAACTGGCAGGAGTATCCATACACCACAACTCAATAAACTCGACACCACAGTTTGGTGCTACTTTCACAACAGCAGTTAAGCTATAGGAGTGTTTTACAAGTCAGTTTTGTGAAAAAAAAAAAAGGCTCATTTGCATACAGTGAGGTGACAAGTACTCCTCACTTTGACTTCTTCACAAAGACTAAAATCTATAGGTAAAGAGAGAGCTGACAGTAACTTCAGAGGAAGCCAGGCCCTGGTACTGACCAGCTTATGTAGGCCACAACAGAGGCTGTGAGGCCCACAGGCCATGGCTTACCTGTGCCTGTTCTATGGCCATATCCAGACTGGCTGCAAACATTTCTAACTAAAAAGATAACACCAAAAGTGTCCAGATTACTGCTGTCATTTGGGAAGAAAAAAACAACAACAACAGAACAACAAAAAACAAAGCACTGGCAACCCCAGAGACGTTTTTCTACCAATGAAAGGAGTGGGGGAGTTGCTGCACTGCTTTCTGTGCCTGTGCTATGTGTTTGGCTCACTTCATTTCTGCACATTATCTGGTCAACCAGGTCAGGGACTGAGTTATAGCTATACAAAGCTACTGCAATAAGCAGGGACAGGAATGTGCCTAACATTCAGAACAAGAAAGGGCCTTTGGCTAAATTAAATAAGTCTGCACACAGTCAACCTCTGCTCTTTCACAGTTTACCTACCCCTAACCATTTTTTTTTTTTATTTTCCTGCAGTGTTGGGGATGGAACCCACGGCTTTATGCATGCTACACACACACCATTAGGGCATTCCAGGAATTCTTGAAAGTTGATGTGTAATTCCTAAGTACCAGAAGGGTATGGGAAGGAATAGGGGGAAGAAGGAGATAAAGTTAGATAAAGATAAACTCAGATGACTGTCTCTTACCTTGGAAGAGGTCCTTACAGATGAGGAGACAAGCAAAAAGCAGCTCACATGAGGAAGCTGTAAGTGGTCAAAGGTGTTTGGATGAAAGGTACAATACAATGTCAGTTTATGGCAGTAGTATGTGAATGAATGGGTAATAGAGATCTGCTATGGATAGACTGACGGAATTGTCCGGTTTGGGGCAGACAGTGGGCAGAACCCTTGACAGTGGATAGATGGGTTGTGCTCCTGCCCTGAATACGGTCAAATGGGACATGATGTGACAAAAGCTTTACAGACTCTAGGGAAATTTCAGGAAAAGGGTAAAATATGAACAGATAGAAAAACCAAGATTTTTTAAAAAGTTAAATAATAGAACACTTAACATGATACAAAATGGAACAATTCCTTGTTTCCTCTCGAGAGGTGGTTATACTATTTTTAGAAAGTGGCAAAGTCCTTTCTCTACATACATGCTTGGAGATACCCCAAACTTAAAGAGATTTTGCAGTAGGTTGGAAAATTCACTTATTGCACGATGCTTGTTAGAGAAAAGATAATGTTGTTTTTTTTTAAATCCAACTTTGTCAAGAAAATGTTTAGTAAAAATCCCACTTATAGTTTTACACATACACTGGAAGTTTTAAGGGATGGGAAAGTTTAACAAACTCTGAGCGATGGAACTATTTCTGAATGTATATGCTCATGATCTCAACACTTGCTGACAATACAACTCCAGGAACTTAACTGGAAAACAGGCACAAAATAAGGCAAGTGGGTTAAATTAATAGTTGAAAATTTGTTAGAAAACATGCAAAAATAATACTGAGTTTTCTCTTAAAAAGTTTTCTTAAATTGTCATTAAATGCTTGTTCTTGTAAAAATCTGAAGAGTTCCATGTTGAAATTTGAAGTCGGACTTAAAAAAGCCTAGAAAATAGAAGGGACAGCACCCCGGTGTTCAGCTGTTGCTCTCTTTGGTGGTGATGGTGACCAGCTGTTTGGCCGCCTTGGCAATGTCGTATGCACACTGGATGACCTGCTGGGTGACCAGCTGCACGTCTGTGGGTGAGCCAGATTCCCCTGGGAGGGCCTTCTTGCACTCTGACTGGAGCCGGTAGGCACTGGATGTCAGTAAACGAAGGGAAGTCCTCACCGTGTCAGATTTGGGTTTCTAAACAGAAAAACACAGTCATTTACCATAGTCTGCAGGGTAGACATCTGGCAGCAAGGGAAGCCTACTCCTGAAAATAACTCAAGTTGTTCCCTACAAAGAGGCAATCTTGCAGTACACGTTTTTTTTCAGGGGGAAGGGGGCTTGAACTCAGGGCCTGGGTGCTGTCCTTGAGCTCTTCTGCTCAAGACCAGCGCTCTACCACTTTAAGCCACAGCGCCACTTCCAGTTTTCTGGTGGTTAGAGACTCATGGACTTTCCTAACCAGACTGGCTTTGAACCACCATCCTCAGATCTCAACCTCCAGAGTAGTTAGTATTACAGGCGTAAGCCACTAGTGCCTGGCTGCACTCTTTCAATAGAGATGTTTGAAAGACTGCTAGCTTGGTAGCCCACAGTATGAGAGATGAAGAAATAAGCTGACTCAAAGGCCAAAGTATACTCTGGTAACCACTACTGCATGCTATTTTGAGCAAGTTTTTAAAAACTAACTTTGTAGACGACATATTCCAAATTATTTTTTTTTACTCTATTCATGCTTTCTTTGCCTTTTGTATTTGACTGGTACATCCTTATTTTAATCAATATTCATGTAGAATAAAGCTCTAAATAGTACTATTTGCATATTAAAAACCTATGTACTATAGAAAGGGTAATATCAAAGACCATAAAAACATTTCTTGCAGTTTTCTTAAAGGCTCTAGAGTGAGCGAGTGAGTAGGAAGCAACTTACTTTGGGGAACAAGACTGCCATTTCTGTAACAGCGCCATGTATCCTCTCAGAGCAGGGAGTATAGCTGCAAAGTATCAGAGAGATCACTCAAAGACAGAACGATGTGGAGGCAGAGTTCTCAGGGGCTGCCACACATTCCTCTTATGTTCCTTTATTGTACAGGAATGTATGAAGTCCAGGATGCTGAGGCAGGGACCTGACTGCGTGGTGTCCCACACCTACAGAAGGTACACATTTCAAAGCAAGGTCCTCATCCTTTCATGGAAGTTCCTTCAACCTGATAAAACAGTCTCCAAAGATGAAATGTGGCAGTTTACAGCATTAGCCAGGTGAAGCCACAAAATGGTCCATAAAGGCATTCATACCTTAAATTGGTCATTTATTTCTCACATTTCATCTTCCTAATTTCTAGAAATAGAAAAAAAATAGCCAAGGACTTCAATGCCAAAGACCACAAACACGAAAAAAAGACTAAAGAAATTTTTCTCTTGTAAGTGGAGCCGACCTTCAATACCCATGTGCTATTTAACTAATGGCCACTTGTAAATTCCTTTCATTCAAAGATATCTAAGTTGCTAGGGATGAAAATCTTTACCTCCTGGAAAGGGAGAACATTGAGGTCTGCTTCACATATTTGTGACACTTATCTATGGTCCCCAAGAGCGCCATCAGCATATATTGACAAGCTCTAAAAAACTGACTGGCCTCATGCTTCCTTCCACACAAGCCTGGTCCTCCAGGGACCAGACCCCCTGTAACATCCCCACAGTCCTGTGAGGTCGGATCACTCTCATACTCACTTTTTTTCAAATAAGAAAACTGAAACTCAGAGAGGAGAAAATGCCCTAGACACACAGAAGTGAGAAAAGGGCTCAGCTCTAGCCTGGTGACAGTGCTGGAGCCTGGCTCCTCACAGCAGTGATACACAAGGCTCACATCTCCCTTTATAGCCAGCCTCTTTCTACTCATGCCTGGTGATCTGACTTGGGCTGAGAAAAGAACTGAGATTTTACTTTCATCTGCCAAGCAGCAGATGGGGCTAATTTTCTGCACCTTCAAGATCTAGGCTTTCGTACAACATGAAGTTGTAAATGACAGCATCTCGGATCTATAAGTAACCAGAGATTTTTAACACAACTTGAGCAAGTTATAGGATATAAATTCTCTAGATCATGGGCTGGGAAGGTGGCTCAGAGGTAGAGCACTTGCCTTGCATGCCTGAGGCCCTGGGTTTGATTCCTCAGCACCACATAAGCAAAGAGAAAAAAAGCCGGAAGTGGCGCTGTGGCTCAAGTGGTAGAGCGCTAGCCTTGAGCTGAAGAGCTGAGGGACAGCGCCCAGGCCCAGAGTTCAGGCCCCACGACCGGACCCCCCCCCCCCCCCAAAAAAAAATTTTCTAGATCAATCCTGGTTTTAAAACCATAATTTTGAACCGAGCACTATAACCTTAGGGGAAATATACATATATTTCAGAGTGGATACAATGTATGCTAAGCACCTTTTTAGTTTGAAACAGCAGCACAGCAATTCTGAAACTGTGGACAATCAAAAGAACACACTGTGAAGTGGGGAGTACTTGAGAAGGAGTCATTCATGGCCCGACCACTTTAACACCGTCCTATTTACACTGCAGAAAGCTGTGAACAGTGAGTGACACTGTGCCTGGGTGAGTAACTGTTTTCTCAGACCCAATGGGACGATGTTTTTGTCCAGATCCACTGTGGAAAGCTAGAATGCCATGCAGATCAGTTCACAACTTAGCAGAATTCTTGGAGAACAAAAGGATCCATCAGAGCAGGGGTCAGTCCTTCCTTATGGGAAGGCAGGGAGCCTTCCAAATCTTCATGTCCACACCATACCCAAGGGAACCAGATAGGAAGAGATAAGGCTCCTTTCATGACTCAGTCTGTCTCAGCAACCCATCCCTCGCTGAGGGCAACCCTTGAGAATTAGGGTTCTTTCTGTCCTCAATACACAGAGAATTGCTTATCTAGATCTACCATCTAGATGTATTTCTAGATGCACCTATTTTCTGAGCTTCATAAAATGAAAACAAAAATACCATGTAAAAAATCCAAACAAGGGGCTGGGAAGGTGGCTCAGTGGTAGAGTGCTTGCCTTGCATGCGTGAGGCTCTGGGTTCAATTCCCCGGCACCACACAAGCAGAAAAAGTGGCACTGTGGCTCAAGTTGTAGAGTGCTAGTCTTGAGCTGAAGAGCTGAGGGACAGTGCCCAGGCCCAAAGTTCAGGGCCCATACTGACAAAAAATCCAAACAAATAAAAGCAAGCTTACATATTTGTTAAGTTTTCATGTGCCTCAAAGCCAGCAAATTGAAAGTAATCCCCATTCAGAACTTGAGCAGCACCCCTTTTGAAGCAGAAATGCACTTTTCCCGGGCCAGGACTGTAGCCCCTCACCTGTCATGCTTGTTTTCCTGGGCTGCTCTTAGGAGCTCCTGTATGTTTTTGGTGATCTGTTCAGTTTTCCGGATGACATCTTCAGTGCTGGGGAGCATGGGGCTTATATGGGGTTCTGCCAAGTCTGGCACTGAGCAATCACCTGGCCATACCATGCTCCGTTGCCTTCCCTTCCGGCTTGACCTGTGAACGGTAAAGAGGTGTACCTCAGTTTTAAGGCGCTCATCTTTTCCATTGGCCATTTTTCCAATAGGCCATTTTTATTGTTTATCTTGTCTAGCAGCAAGCTCAAAAGGCCTTACTTCACCAACTAGCAGCTACAACTCACTTGCGTAGGACAAAGAGGGGAAAATGGAGAGCAAGTAGAGTAGGGAGGGTATGTTATTATATAATAATTCATCTGCAGTTGAGCCCATTTGGGGGGGGCATCAATGTACAATGTAAACTGATGTCAGCAATGCAGTATTCTGGGCAATGGTGGCTCACACCAGTAATCCTACTCAGGAGGCTGAGATTTGAAGACTGAGGTTCAAAGCCAGTGGAGGCAGGAAATTCCTTGGGACTCTTATCTCCAATTAACTAGCAAAAAGCAGAAGTGAAAGTGTAGCTCAGTGGTAGAGCACTAGCCTTGAACAAAAAAGCTCAGGAACAGCAACCATGCCCTGAGTTCAAGCCCCAGTACTGGCACAAAACAAACAATACAGTACTGTCTTTTGAGTACACTAGGTATCTAGAGACAGTTCTAGTATCCCAATAAAAGGACACAAAGGCCAGGCGCTCATGCCTGTAATCCTAGCTACGCAGGAGGCTGAGATCTGAGGACTGCGGTTTAAAGCCAGCCCCGGAAGGAATTCATGAAACTCTTATCTCCAATAACCACCAGAAAACTGGAAGTGGGGCTGTGGTTCAAGTGGTAGAGCTCTAGCCTTAAGCTGAAGAGCTGAGCGACAGTGCCCAGGCCCATAATTCAAGCCAACAACAACAATAACAACAACAAAAGGACACAAAGCCCCTGTGGCAATAATGAACAGTGAAAGGACCTAAACTATAAATATACATTTGAGTAGTCTGAAAATAGGGACCAAGGGTATGGGTGGCCAAGGCCTGGCAGGTGTCTGGCACTCCACAGCCTGTTCTCAAGCACACTTTCCCTGCTATACCCCATGTCATCTGGCTCCAGGTCATTGGGAGTGTTGTCATAGTCACTTTCAGGTGTGCTGTTCTGCTTCTCCAGCCTGGAAGCCTACAAGAAAGAGAAGGGACCCCCGTGAGTTTAGAACATGAGACACTTCAGAATTGTCCCAGAGCAGCATTCCCTGTGAGGTTACATGACCTTCATACCCAGAGTTCACTTGGAAACCCTTTTCACTCTTAGATCAGAGGTTAATCTATCAACAGATCCTCGGTACAAACTAATAAACTGACACAGGCATGCAAGGCTGTCTCCTTTAGTTCTGAAAGGAATATAGAGTTTATAACACAATGAGATGCAGTTAATAAGCAAACATACTAGTACTTAGCTGACCACAGACCTTCAGAGATCAAAGTTACCTGCAGATAATCTGGATTATCCCCAGGTAAGAAAGGAAGGACCACAAAAACTGGCTGGCCATGGAAGACACAAAGCCAGCGGAATAAGAGCCTATTCAAAGATTTCAATATTCAGTGCCCAAGGCTCAGGTGATTGCCACTATTTGTTTGTTTGTTTATTTATTTATGTCAGTCATGGGGCCTGAACTCTGGGCATGGGCACTGTCCCCCAGCTCTTCAGTTCAAGACTAGAGCTCTACCACTTGAGCCTCAGTGCCACTTTCAGCTTTTTCTGTGTACGTGGTGCTGAGGAATGGAACCTAGGGCCTCATGCATGCTAGGCAAGCACTCTACCACTGAGCCACCTTCCCAGACCTACTGCCACTATTTAAAACACAAAGAACATGTGTAGAGACAGTTTTGGGGAGGTATCAAGAAAACTGGCACTTGGGTTATAGTGTTTATAAGCCAGAATGGATGATCCCATTATACTTGAGTATAACTCACTTTTATCTGTGTCCAAAAATACCCCTTAACACAGTGTTCAAAACAACTGTACAGGTTCAAAAATGGGATATAGATTTAAAGGCAACATTTTAAAAATGTTTTGGACAAATGATAGCACTACTACCAATGAAGTGTGAAAGGGAACACATTTTGCTGAAGGGAACTGTTTTAGTTCTATAGTGTTTAGTGAAAACTCTTTTCCCTCAGCATTCATTTTAGCTATGTTTGAGTTTGTTTTCAACTAGAAAAGAAACTGGTATAAGCTGACTCAAAACTTAGAAGTGATTACCTTGCAAAGTACAAGTATGAGCTACTTTTCAGCTCTATACTTTAAATTTAATCCCAGTTAATCAAAATGTGCAGACATCATAGTAAAATAGAGCTAAGGCTCTATGAGAGAAGAGCTTTGTTCAAGCACTTGGAAAAACAAGGGGTCTCATCCAGAGGCCATGGGAGGAACTCAGTTTCAGAAAGTCTACAGATATAGAAGGTCTGACTTTTTGTTCTTAAGTGATAATGCATTCTGGCTTTCTCAAAGTCCTATGGGTACTGGCCAGCCCCAGCCCACATTCTACTTCCTCTTCCTATCATCTCTCTTTTCCTCCCAGGGCAGAGACTCATTCTTTCTGCTGAGGCTTTTCATGCATCCTGGAGATGTTCTACTTAATCCCCATCCACATTATAGAGGACACACTAAAATTTAATGTGAATTCTCTAACTGCTCAAATTTACCTGGCAAATGATTAAAAGTTTTGTCTTAAGAGACAGATGAGGAGTTTACAAAGCTAAATCCTGTAACCAGTTCTACTTCACTAGTTGCCTGATTTTGATCTGGCTTTATAGGTGAGTCAGGGGGCTGCTAGCTATTGAGGCTTGAATGAAAGAGCACAAGGTCACATGTCCATGGTCCATCAGTTCATGGTCCATGGTTCAGTACAGGGATGGTGAGACGAGGGTCTTCTGGACATAGTCTCAGACCCCTACCCCCAAACCCTCTTACCTTTCAAATTTATTTTAAAATTGCACTTAAATAAACTGTAAAAGTGACTCAGAGCTGTTCCAGCAGGAGGGAATCTAGAAAATAGAATTAACTGCCCTCAAATTCCACCTTTCTTTTTTTTTTTTTTTTGGTCTGTTTTTGGTGCCAATCCTGGGGATTGAACTCAGGGGCCTGGATGCTGTCCCTGAGCTTCTTTTGCTCACGGCAAGTGGCTCTACCACTTGAGCCACAGCTCTACTTCAGGCTTTTTGGTAGTTAGAGCTAAGAGTCTCATGGACTTTCCTGTCCAGGCTGGCTTCAAACCATGATCCTCAGATCTCAGCCTTCTGCGTAGCTAGTATTTCAGGTGTGTGCCAACAGCAGCTGTGTTTTTTTTGTTTTTTGGCCGTTGTGGGGTTTGAACTCTGGGCCTGGACGCTGTCCTTGAGCTCTTCAGCTCAAGGCTAGCACTCTACACTTGAGCCACAGAGCCACTTCCAGTTTTCTGAGTGGTTTATTGGAGAAAAGAATGTCACAGGCCGGGCGCTGGTGGCTCAAGCCTGTAATCCTAGCTACTCAGGAGGCTGAGATCTGAGGATCATGGTTCAAAGCCAGCCTGGGCAGGAGAGACCGTGAGACTCCAATCTCCAATAAACCACCAGAAAACCGGAAGTGGCGCTGTAGCTCAAGTGGTAGAGCGCTCGCCTTGAGCTGAAGAGCTGAGGGACAGTGCCCAGGCCCAGAGTTCAAGCCCCACGACCGACAAAAAAAAAAAAAAAAAGAATGTCACAGACTTTCCTGCCCAGGCTGGCTTTGAACTGCAATCCTCATATCTCAACCTCCTGAGGAGCTAGGATTATAAGCATGAGCCACTGGTGCCCTACTTTTTTGTTTTTAAGACCAGACTGAAGTCAGGACCTTGAGAGGCAAGTGCTCTTCCACTGAGTTAAATCTCCAACCCCATTGTTTGGAGTTTTTGAGACAAGGTGTTACTATATATAGTCTAGACTGGCCTTCAACTAGTAAATATTTAAGCCTCAGCCTCATGAAGTTCCCAATTTTTATAGTGGATATTTTTACTTTCCTTGATAGAGATTTGATAATTGCAGATGAAACACATTATTCACAATGATTAAAAGTACCAAATTTCATTTAAACATTTTAAAAGAGTAACAACTTGTGTACCAACTGAAAGTACTCAGGAAATACTCCTCAAGCACAGAAAACAACTGCCCAGGAAATTAGTTACTTACATGCGAAGTCTTTCATCGTTGTCAACAAATGCATTCAGGATTTCAGTGTAGCCAGCATTGAGTTTTATGAAAATTATTGTGAACATGCAGAGCCAGGAGCTACTTGTTAAAAGTACTGCTCTCTCAAAGCTGTTAATGGAAAAGTTACCTCATAGGCTGGTGCTGGTTCGGTTTATTTAATAAACTTGCAGTTTGTTTTGAATACAAGACATGCCATAAAAATCTGAACCTGTGATGAAGATGTCAGGAACAACACAACTGATCTGTTTAAATGACTGTTTTTGTTTATGTAAAGTCATCTCAGCAAACAGGCCTGGCAAGATTTTTCTCCCATATTGGGGTTTGAACTTTTTTGAAATTACCAAAAAATAAAAATAAATTTAAATACCACAAAATTTCAGTGGACAAAGGTTTGCTCAACTTTCATTAACAAAATTTCAAATGAGATACTTTGTTAGTATTATTCTGTCTTTTTGGGTTTTTTGGTGCCAATACCAGGGCTAGCATTCTATCACTTGAGCCATACCTCCAGTCTAGTTCTTTAGCTGTCTCCAATTCACACTTCTTTGCTCAAGCTGGCAGAGAACAGCTGGCTTTGAACAGTGATCCTCTGATCTTAGACTCCTGAAAACCTATGGTTAGAGGTGTAAGCCACTGGCACCTAGCTATAGTTCAGTTCCAAGGCTATGAGGACTACTACATCAAGATTTTTTGTTGTTGTTGTTGGTCATGGGGGCTTGAACTCTAGGCTTGGGTGCTATTCCTGCGCTCTTCAGCTCAAGGTGAGCGCTCTACCGCTTGAGCCATAGTACCACTTCTGTTTTCTGGTGGTTAATTGGAGATAAGAGTCTCACAGACTTTTCTGCCCCAGCTGGCTTTGAACTGTGATCCTCAGATCTCAGCCTCCTCAGTAGCTAGGGTTACAGGTGTGAGCCATCGGTGCCTGGCCAAGATTTTTTTTTTCAGTACTGGATTTTGATCTTGGGATCTTATGCCACTAGCATGGTTGTTGTGCTGGTTGTTTCTGAGACAGAGTAAGGCATGCACCTGCTCCCTGATCCACGTATTTTAGTTTCCTGGTCATAGCTGATAGCTGTAGATAACTATAATGTGCCATCATACCCAGTTCTCAGTTGAGAAAGGGTCTAGTGAAATTTTCTGCTTGGCCTGGCCTCAAATCTCAACCCTCCCAATCTCTGGCTCCCAAGTAGCCAGGATTACAGATGTAAGCTACCCCAGTACCTGGCTAAAAATTATTTTCAATAGACTACTTCAAAGTACAGTTAGATATCTCCAAAGGGTCTTGTTACATGCCATTGGCAATGGATCACTGCTAGGTGTGGAGGGAATGGCCAAAAGTACAGTGCAAATCCCACCTTGTCTGTAAAGGTGGCCCCAGCCACCTTCCCTCCTCTCTGCTTTAACTTCCCATCATTAAAAACACCTTATGCTGGCACCTGAATGCAAGTCTTCAAAGCTTGGTCTCTTTCTATAGCTTTCCCAGGTAAATACATGCAGACATGTTCTCTTTGTACATGAAAGCATTCTAAAAAACAAAACCCAACTACCTTTATGAAGAGGGACTGTGCCACTTAAATCCTTAGGACCCTTTACAGGACTTAGTAAAGGTAGGCAGGAGAAGCTGCTTAATAAGCTTGTGGTACTTCCTCCTCTCAAGACGCTTAGTGGGTCACATATCCAGCAGGCCCCAGCAGGCCAGGTCTACCCAATCAATCCAAGTCAAGTCTGATGCTCACAGCTGCCAGCACTCTTTCACTATGGTTAAGTGTGCCAATTCCGGTTCCGGTTCCGGAGTTTAGCAGCTAGCAGTTAAAAAAAAATTTTTTTTAAGTTTTTTTTTTTTTTTTTTTTGGTGCCGGTCGTGGGGCTTGATCTCAGCCTCCTCAGGAGCTAGGATTACAGGCATGAGCCACCAGCACCTGGCAAAAAGTATGTTTTTGTGTTAGCCCAAATACAACAATATTAATGTTAACTCTAGCTCTGAATAAATTGGACAGATATTTCCTATGACAAGTATGTAACCAGCAGCCAGCTAATTTTTTGATTAAGACATTATGCTCAGAATTAATGGTATGAGATGATTTACAACCTTTTGTTAAATATGTGAAAATCAGCAGTGTGAGGTTAGAAGTGATGCTGTCTCTCTACACGTATGCGTGCGTGTGTGCATGAGTGCGTGCCCGCTGTGCTGTGAGAAACCAGGAGGGAAGCTCTGCCTCATGCAGGACAGAGGGCAGTTAGCAAGGGACAGGGACAGGAGGGTCAGCACCCAAGCACAAAGCGCCCAGGAGCTCTGCCCCTCCTCCAGAGCAGACCATTCAGAGTGTACTTAACCCTTCGGGCGCTCTCATCCCTCGACCAGGAAAGTGTGGAGGGGAAGGAAGGCAGAGACGAAGAGGAGGTCACAAGTGCACTCCTCCCAATCTAGAAGGGGAAAGAGAAACAGGCTCGGGAAAATACAAAACCAACAAACCCCTGAATACCTACCCTGGCTGCAGGAAAAGAACCCAAGGAAACAACATACTACAACTCGGGAAGCCATGATGTTCAGACAACACAGGCTTTGAGGTGTTTAATCCCTTGGGGAAATTGTTCACAATTTAACAGGCTTACCTTTCCTCAAAGGAAACAGTATCACCTAGCACCTTCCTTACAATCACTGGTATTTTTTTTTTAATGGCTAGCATAAATTGCTATTTCTTTTTTCAACCAGAACCAATATGAAGCAAGAAACCATACAAGTGATTACTAACTGGCATATGCTATCATTGTAATCTTTAGAGGTGACAGAACTTTGAAATGACACCCTTATATTCTAAGTGCTTATGAAATAGAGTGTGGAGCTAAGGAAAGTGGCTTTTCCTAAGCTGCTTTCAGTTATACCAAAGAAAGGTCATTTTCACTTAGTTCAAAGGCTCTCACTACACTAAATGCATCAAAACAATTGCCTTCCAAGCTAAACCCCAACAATCTCAAGAGCTCAAACTATGCAATCCCAGTTACATACAACAGTACTATAATTCCACTACTCTTAAGTCTGACAAAATTAAGCTAGGCTTAATTTACTAGATCATATATATACTTTACTCTGCATTTACTCTGATAATTTTTGAAATGCATACAATAGCTGTTGACACTCAAGCTGTTGACACTCTGAAGAAAGCATTTAAAAAGTTTAAAATTTCTGTAACATTTTGCCAAAAATACATTTTTATAATAAATTCATCCTGAAGAAATATGATTTGAAAACATCAGAACATGACACTCATTGTAAAATAAGATGGTTGAGACTTTGCTTCAGAATGGTTTTTGGAGTTTCACACTTGAAAGGTGGATCCAGAGCCCTTATACCTCATCGTTATGAGATGACGAAGCCACACTTCCTCCAGGAAGAGCAGGCCAAGGATGTGGAGCCTAACCCAGCAGGTGTGGACAAGTTGTAAGGCCTGGAGCTTTCAGGATGTGCCTTAGCATGCCAAACCACAGGGACCATCTGCTCGTGAAGTATGTGAAAAGACACTCTGCATTCTAAAGGGAGCAGTTTGTAAAGAGGAAGACACTCTACTAGTGGCCTTTATTATTATTTTATTTTTTTGGTCAATTGTGGGGCTTGAACTCTGGGCCTGGGTGCTGTCCCTCAGCTCTTCAGCTCAAGGCTAGCACTCTACCACTTGAGCCACAGCGCCACTTCCGGCTTTTTCTGTTTATGTAGTGCTGAGGAATCGAACCCAGGGCCTCATGCATGCGAGAGGCAAGCACTCTACTACTGAGCCACCTTCCCAGCCCCTGGCCTTTATAATATAGCAAATACAAGAGCAACACTTAGAGCCCAGTTTGGCAAAGCAGAGGCACAAGCTTCTGCAAGTTCAGTAGAGGGAACAGAGTAGTGAGGTTGCACATAGTAAACATGGAAAAGCTAGTGGTATTACTTACGTGTGCAGGGAAGGGCTGGAGTCTTGTCCTGCTTTCCTCAGGATGGTTTGCTTCTCCTATTGGGAGATATGGTTTCTGACCTGATCCCGTCTCATACATGGACATGGGCCTACTGCCCCGGGCAGATGGACGTCGCTTTAAGGAGGAGTGGTTGGAAGTGTCTGGGTACTCAGAACCAGTCTGCACTTGATAGACATTGGTTGTGGCCTGTTTCCTGAGGCTCGAGTTCTCACTCTGGAGTGTTTGAAGCTGAAAGAAATGTTTGGCAGTGGGACTGTTTTTCCATAGCAAGCAGACAAAACAAACAGCAAGTAAACAAACACAACTACCAGCTTAAAACAGAACAATAACAGCTGGGTTGAAGGTAAAGAAGCAACTATAAACAAGAACTCTTTCTGGAATAAATAAAATGCACTCTACTCACTTTACCATACAGGCTAATTAGTTTCATTTCTGAATGTGGGAAGAGTTGTAGTTTGGGAATTTGAAAAACTAAATGTCTAACCACTTAACATTTTGTCATGGTGGGGCAGGGAAACATTTGCAGGCAAGCTGTATTCTAGATTGTTCTAAGGCTGTCTCAGGCAAGGGCCTGAGACCATTAAAACATCACTGAAGTGCTTTTCAAATGAACCCTAAGCAATTTGCAAATGCCAAGAGTGACAGCACACACCATGGAAGCAGCAGGAAGATAAGTAGGATTGCTCTGCAAAGCAAGAAAGACAATGAGTTCAGCTATGATAAATCAGATCACCTACTGCTTTCCAAAGAGCCAACAAGAAAAATTATGATCAGCAAGTTTTTATTACATAATACTCTTGGTATTCCAAACAATTCAGTGCTTTCTAAAAAATAAGAGGGAAAACTGAATCATGGTAAGTTTGCTATATTAATAGATCACAAAGAAAACTGGAAACCTATGGAACTGCGTTAGTATCTTCACATGAAGGAAATGTTCCACGTAGCACACTTGCTTCCCTCTGGTGATCCTTTTTTTTTTTGGCAGGGCTGGAGTATGTGGCCTGTCTCTCCTTAGGTTTTGTCACCCAAAAACCATGAATATGGTGGTGTCAGCTTTAGCAGTTTAATCTGCTTGATACCCCATCCCCATTTTAGTTAAGACACTGTCATTTGGAGGCCCTGAATGTTCTTTCCATTCCTCACATGAAGGCTGCTTCACAGTTAAGGGATCAGCAAGACTTTGTAGGGCTTGTTATCATCCAGCAATTTAAACACAAGTAGCTATGTCCATCTGCACAGGTCTGTCTCCACTGCTGCACCTTCATCTTCCATGCCATTGTGGTTTGAGTTCAGCTGTCTACTCTTAGAGAAAGAGATTGTAAACTCTGACCAATTCCCCTCCGGACCAAGGTTTAAATCCACAGGCAATCATATCTGCACCAGGAGATCCTCACTTCCCAATAGCAAACTCATGCAGTATTAACGGTCACTTTCAATTTTTATTTATAAAGCATGACCAGTGAAAAATGCACCAATACTGGCTGGTCCTCTTCATTAAATAGCATCCTTTCCAAGCAACTGTTGAATGTGAAAGATCAGAGATAAATCATGCCACGTTGTCAACTTCATTGAAAATTGTATGTAATTTTGAAATAATAACATCTTTGCTATGTACGCAAATTCCTTTTTTTTTGCCAGTCCTGGGGCTTGGACTCAAGGCCTGGGCCCTGTCCCTGAGCTTCTTTTGCTCAAGGTTAGCACTCTACCACTTGAGCTACTTCCAGCTTATTCTGAAGAGTTTATTGGAGATAAGAGTCTCAGATTTTCCTGCCTGGGCTGGCTTCAAACCGTGATCCTCAGATCTCAGCTTCTTGAGTAGCTAGGATTACAGTGAGCCACCAATGCCTGAAATGAATTCCATATCTTTACTAGTGCTAAAATTATGTGGAAGTGTAGTTTCCTGCCTCTTGTATAGAAAGAGTTCTTCCTCTGGCTTCTTGAAGGGTAAGCCATGAGAGAATGATTGACTGCTTCTACTTCACCAAGGCTTTCGAGGGTGCAATGTGTATCTGTAACCTCCTCTCATAAAGAGAAACATATGCAACACGATGACAGCTTGGGAGAAATCCCTGCATTCCAGGATACAGACAGGCAGGAGATGCATGTCAAAATGATGTGTTGGGAACCTGAAGCCTTAATGAAATGGTCAAGGTCCAAAGAATGAAAAGCCTAAGTGATCTGAGTCTCTCTGCAGAAGACTTAAGTGTACATGTGTTTAGAAAAAGCCTCTGTTCAGACCCAGGCACTAAAGTCAGAAACTACCCCAACATAGTGCATGATTCTGAAGCATAGTGGTTTATGATTTCTGCTTGGATTTTCTGGAATGAGCTATAGGATGGAACCGAGATTCTGGTTTTAGTTTTTAAAAAGCTTAGCACTCTGTATTTATAGAGGTGTCCTTGGATAAATTTTGATGATGCATATATGTAATGCATGATATATAACACATATATCATATTATATATGTATATACGCCTGTAATTTTTTTTGGTTGGTTGTGGGCTTGAACTCAGGAAATATGTGCTGTCTCTCAGCTTTTTTGCTCAAGGCTAGTGGTCTACCACTTTGAGCCACAGCTCCATTTCCAGTTTTTGAGTGGTTAATTGGAGAAAAGAGTCTCACAAGAACTTTTCTACCTGGGCTGGCTTCAAACTATGACCCTCAGATGTCAGCCTCATTACAGGCATTAGCCACCAGTGACTGGCAATGATGCTTATCTTAATAAGAACCAGACTAAACTCTGTTTGGAAGGAGTATGACAGAAAATAAGTTATGGATAATTCAATAGTTTTGGAAACCAAATGTATTTCGAAGAAATGAAGAGATAATTCATGAACAATGGTAAGTTATTTCACTCTGAAATATTTTTTTTTTTCCTTTTTGCCAGTCTTGGGGCTTTAACTCAGGGCCTGGGCACTGTCCCTGAACTTCTTTTTGCTCAAGGCTAGCACTCTACCACTTGAGCCAGAGTGCCACTTCCGGCTTTTTCCGTTTATGTGGTACTGAGGAATTGAACCCAGGGATTCATACATTCTAGACAAGCACTCTATCACTAAGCATATTCCCAGCCTGAAATATTCTTTATCGTGTTTTTGGTACTGAGGTCTGAATTCAAAGCTTCAAGCTTGCCTAGCAAGTGCTTTACCACTTGAGCCATACCCCTAGCCCATTTTGCTTTCACGATTTTTCAGATAAGGTAACCTAGAGCTGGTCTCAGACTACAATCTTGTTTCCTACCTACCAGGAATTTGACTTTTAACTGGGTTGGTGTTGAATTGTGATCCTCCTCACCTCTGTCTCCCAAGTAGCTGAGATTATGAGCATGAACAACCACAGTTAACCTATCACTCTGCTTTTTTTCCCTGGGTGCCAGTACTCAGAATTGAACTCAGGGTCTTGAGCTCTTGCTTGGATTTTTCACTCATAGCTGGAACTCCACCACTTAAACTGTACCTCTAGTCAGGTTTTCTTGTTTATTGTTTTGCTGGTTAATTGGAGATAAAGAGTCTTGCAGGAAATGGCACTGTGGTTCAATGTGATAGAGCACTAGCCTTGAGTGAAAAGGCTCAAGGAAAGTACCCAGGCCCTGAGTTCAAGCCCCACAACTGACCAAAAAAAAAAAAAAAAGAAAAGAAAAGTCTTGCAGACTTCTCTGCCAGGCTGGCTTTGAATCTCAATCCTCAGATCTCAGTTTTTCAAGCAGCTAAGATTACAGGTATGAGTTACCAATGACTGGGCACTCTTCAGAGATACAGGGTTATTATTGCTGGTGATTTCTATGAATACTGAAAGAAGCATTATAGAATAAAAAAGATAACCCTTGATAGATTAAAACATGTCAGCATGTTTCAGAAAAAAGTCAACTAAAAGTTTTTAGTCTGATTTACGAGACAAACTATAATCCATTAAGCAAAAATCTATTCCAGAAAAGGAGGGAAAGCTAGGCCCCAGTGGTTCATGCCTATAATCCTACCTGCTCAAGAGGTTGAGATCTGAGGATCATGGTTTGAAGCCAGCCACAGCAGCAGAGTACTAGAGATTCCATCTCCAATCAAGCAGTGGAAAAGCTGGACTGGAGGTGTGGCTCAAGTGGTAGAGTGCCAGTTGTAAACAAAAAAGCGAGAGAAAGAGCCAAGTGAGAGCATGTAGCCCTGAGCTCAAGCTCTAGTACCAGCACCAAAAAAAAAGGAAAGGAAAGGGCAGAGGAAATGCAAGTCTTGTATGTTACAACAAAGGGGCTGGTCACAGTGGCATACCAGTCTTAAATCAAATCCCAGGTGAAGGTCTACTTTCTTCTCTAGTGAGTACAGTTTAGTTCTTTGGATTTTCTAAGGAAGCAGAATTAAAATGAACCTCATGCCTAAGTCTTGAAAAAGTGTCAATGACAGCATAAAGACACGGGTTACAGACTGTTTCTGCTTAAGGGAAACATCTCTCTCTCTTCTCTCTCTCTCTGTCTCTCTCTCTCTCTCTCAATCTCTATCTGCAACTCTGGGAACTGAACTTAAGGCCTCATGCATACCAGGTAAATACTCTACCACTTTACTCACCTCACACCTCAAAAAAATCTCATTTCTGAAGGGAACTGAAATATGGGAGCAGTACCCACAAAGTCTTGGGTAATATTTGGCATTTTTCAGCTTCTCTTTCTCTGCCTTCTCAGGAAGAAGTAAACATACATGATCTCCCTTAAATGTATGCTTTGCTAATACTTGCCACACTCCTTTTAGAGACTAAGATAGTCATACAATTCTGATTCTCTCAAAGGGGAATGAATGACAAAATGCTCAATGTCTAGGACTATCTCTCGTTGGTATTTCTTCTTGCTAGTACAAATGGGATTCTCTTACTTACTGAGAATCTACCCTGTAGTAGGGCCTGCTCTAGGCTCTTGGAATACCACAGATAAGTGGTTAAGTCCTAGTGACAAGCAAGTGGGGATTAGGGATGGGCTGTCAGGGTAAGAGTGGGTAAGAGCTGAGTGACCATTAGCAAAAAAAGCACGCCTGCACGGCTGGGCTAGGGCTTACGTGCTAATGGGTACACACGCCTGCTGCCCAATCTTATGCATGATGTGATTATTCTTTACAATTAGCAACAGGAAGAATTACATCCTTGCCATGACATCCAGATCCTCAGGAAGCATACATGTACTTGGGTTATTGACTCTGGATGCATTTTTCTTTTTCTTTTTTTTAAGTGTTGGAGACTGACCCCAGGGCTTTGAGCTCATATGCTCTGTATCACTGAACTATATCCATGTAAATACTATATCTCTTTTCTTTATTTGTGGTTCTGGGGATAAAACCCAAGACCTTGAGAATGGAGGCAACCACTTTACCACTGAGCTACATCCCTACCCCTACTCTGGATACATTTGTAAACAAACCTATTTTATATCCAATATCCACACACAATCTGCTTCCAGAAAGACACTTTGGCCCCAAGATGTCTAAAGCTATAACAGTAACTATTTTTCTTCCCTCTGACCATTAACATAGTGCCTGGGATTGACTTCCTTATACTATGGGATCAAAGAATCAACCGTCCTGGCATTCATTAACATGTTACCTTTTTCTGCATAATTCTCAGCTCGTCACTCAAGTTGTTATTCACCTTCATTAGCTGTTGTATCTTGGCCTCAGAAGCCACTAGGGCGTTTTTGACCTCCATAAATTCCTGCACAGTGACTGGTCCATCTGATAAATCTGAATCTAGGCTCTAAAAATAAATTGGGGAAAATGTTCACAATCTGAGATGATAATGTTAAAGTCTAATAGCTAAAGAATTTCCATTTCTGGCTGTGCCAGCTGAATCACAAGTTAAACCAAATCAAGGCTTCTGAGAGTAATGTAAAACTGAAACATAAAAGTAGGGTCCCTATGTTTAAAGTCAATATACTCTGTTGGAGCAGGCAAGCAGGGCTACAAATCTACACTGCTAATGACTATCTGAGGAAGTCTGTCCTATCTTCACGCCTTTTCTTGCTTATTTTCTTTTCTTACTCACTCTTCCATTAATTCACTCATTCCAACATTATTGCACATTAGGCAGTTTCCAGGTGTGTGGGATGTATCAGAAAATAGGTTCCTGCTTCCATGGTGTTTTCATCCCAGCAGCATTAGGAGAAACATAAAAATAATTAAATATACAATGTGAGCAAAAAGTGATTAGAGCTTTGGAAACATACAGGGAAGGGGGCACAAGAGCTAAAGGAAGAGTATAGGTGGGAGTGCATGTTAGGGAGAGCTGGGGTGAGCCTTGATTAGAGGCTACAGAGGTGAAGGGATCAGTCAGATGGTGCCCAGAGGAGGAACATTCCAGCAGACTGCAGAGCTCAGCTAGAGGAAGTAGATGTGAAGACAGGAGGAGGGAGACTGATCAGTCAATGGAGGGAAACTGGCTTCCACTCTGGCAGTCTTGGCAGGGGTTATCTCCTCAATCTGCCAATGGCAGCACGATTCTCACAGTCATGTGAGGCACCTCTAAATCCATCTCCCACTTCATACCTCTACATCTCTCTACCTTCCAGTTCTTCCATTCTCAGAATCCATCAAGCACTTTGCAGGCTACTCCTAGGTATCCACAGCAGATGGGCCCTGGAAAACCCTGCTTCCTCCATGGTGCCTCAGGCTTTCCCACTGGGCTCCTCCAAGCCCAGACCCTGAGGTAGCTCATTCCAGCCCACTTGGACCATATAGGAACATCCTAACCAGGTCCCTCCTTTCACATCTGACCTTTGTCCTCTTGCCTCACCTAAAGCTCCTGGGCTCTCACAGCTTCTGACTAAAGCCATAGTTGTTCATTCTCATGTTACATTCTTCCTGTTATAGCTTTGTGTTCTCACCCCCTCTCCCTGTCTCCCCCCCCCCCCCCCCCACCGCTTTTTTTTGGCTATTCATAACCATCCTTCTATCCTTCTCCCAACAGCCTTGGCTTTTCTTTCTTTCTTCTCAGACTGCCCTGTCCAGTCGTCTTCACAAGCCCAAAGTCCATATAACCTTTCAGGCCTCTCTTATGACCCAGCCATCTACCAAGCTTCCTTAGGTGCTCCCAGGCACTAAGTTCTCTCCTCTCACTCCCCCAGCTTCTGCTTGTGCTTTGTACCTTCCACCATGGTCATCGTTCCTCTCCCAGGCAATGGCCTCATTTGGGAAAGCGTTACCCAAGAAGTTACTTAGCAAATATTTTTTGAGTGACTAGAACCTTTCAGTCATGTCTCACAATCTTAACAGAGGCATGACAGCAGTGGGCTGTGACTGCAACTGTCTCAGAGACAAAAGTCTCTATTTTCAAAACATTTTATCTCTTTTCACTGTTCTTTGGCCAGAACTAACAGTAAGCCCAACTTTACCCTCTTAGTAGCTGTTGCAGGGCTACCCCTTGAGAGACTGATAGGGTAACTCTACAGGGGAAAGAGTTCTGAGAGAAACATGTCTGCCCTTCTGTGTGAGATGTGTTCTCTCACCTTTTGTCTGTTTGCCTTGCTTGCTGTGCTCTCCAAATCGGTGTCTTCATCTGATGCCACACTGTCATAGTCCGGCTGGTCATTATCTTGACTCTCAATACTGTGCTGGTTATTGATTGTTTTCAGTATGAGCTCCACATTGTCTGTCAGTAGAATCAAGTAACTTACTTCAGGCTTAAAATATTTTTCCTTCCAAAAACCTACTGGCATGACTTTTTGGTTACATTTGATACCAATAGAGGGGTAGTAGAAATATAGAGAAATTTGCCTAGAGAAATATAAGCAAATGAAGATGATTCAGAAAGGAGCTGCTTATTAGATTGAGGCGGCAGGTTCCCAGGCTTGCATACGTAGAGCATAGATCCAGATCATGAAGATGTATCAGTACCATTTGATCCTTGTGACATACTTATAAGAAAATGTCAAAACAGAAAGCAAATTAGGACACTGGACCCTTGAAAGTAGGTGCTCAAAGAATAGGGACACTGACATTTAGTTCCTGAATACAAATGAGAATGAGAGAAGAGAAGGTAGAGGAGAAGACGGGGAAAGGCACGGAAAGGAGGAGTAATCCAATGGACATAGAAGTTCTGTTATTAACAGTATGTATTCCATATAGGGCAAGGATGGTTTTACAGGCTCTGACATGCTTGGAATAAAAAAGTTCATAAACTACCCAGGACTATCCAATTTCAGGCAGCTAAAGCTAACCACCAATTCCTAATACTGTTTTCCAGATGGCTTGATAACCGATATCTGAGTAATAAATCGTGGCTTTTTAAAAGGACTATTTGAATTTTTTAAAATATTTAAAACATTTGATGTGATTATAGAAGTAATAAAGTTTTAATATAAAGAATTTGGAAACTAACGAGCCAAGGAAGACAAAAATCATTGCTTCTTTAATGTTTAAACTAATTTTCTTTTTCTTTTTTGTCGGTCATGGGGCTTTCTGGGCCTGAGTGCTGTCCCTCAGCTCTTTAGCTCAAGGCGAGCTCTCTACCACTTGAGCTACAGAGCCACTTCCAGTTTTCTGGTGGTTTATTGGAGATAAGAGTCTCACAGACTTTCCTGCCTGGGCTGGCTTGAACCAAGAGCTCAATAGGATAACAGGCGTGAGCCACTGGTGCCCGGCTTAAACTAATTTTTTTGTTTTAACAGCCTTTTATTTTACAATTAGTATATGCTCATTACCAAAACTCTGGAAAATAAAAAAGAAAGTATATTCTTTAAAAAAAAACTCAGTATTATGAACTTCAAGGTTATTAAATATGTCAAGAAAACTCTGGATTGTGCTTTGATATTTTAGATTGTGCTTTGATATTTTCGATCATGGCTGTCCAATCAGTAGCATAGTGCTAGACACTTACATTGTTAGCATTTTTTTTATTATACAGTGCTACAATGAATGTCCAAATTTAAACTAATTTTTTAATGTTCTTTTTCTTTCAATTTTATTTCTTCTTTTTTTTCTGCCAGTCCTGGGGCTTGAACTCAGGACCTGGGCACTGTTCCTGAGCTTCTTTTGCTCAAGGTAGCACTCTACCACTTTGAACTACTGCGCCACTCCTAGTTTTCTGGTAGTGAATTGGAGATAAGAGTGTCATGGACTTCCCTGTCTGGGCTGGCTTTGAACCATGATCCTCAGATCTCAACCCCCTGAGTAACTAGGATTACAGATGTGAGCCACTGGTGCCAGCCAATTTTTGTCATTCTTAATAGTGATTTTCTAAAGGGATGCTGTGAGCCATAGGTATGTACCCAGCTGGGTACATACCTATGGCTCACACAGACTTTTGGGTTAATTTTGGGGTACAATTTTATAAGGAGAATAAGAATGGGGGAAGGGGAATCATATGTAAGATAAATTTGAATAATAGTTACCAGTTTTGAAATACTTCTAATTTAGCTCAGCTGCAACAGGTAACATTTTGTCAAATTACTAATAAATCATAGGAATGTAAGCTGTTGTTGTCAATGACTGCTATAAATTTAATAGTTAAGACTTAGAAAGCCCAAAGAAGGTGGCTCAGTGGTAGAGCGCTTGCCTTGCATGCATGAGGACCTGGGTTCGATTCCTCAGCACCACATAAGCAAAAAGAAAAAAGCCAGAAGTGGCGCTGTGGCTTAAGCGATAGAGCGCTAGCCTTGAGCTGAAGAGCTGAGGGGCAGCGCCCAGGCCCAGAGTTCAAGCCCCATGACCGGACCCCCCCTCCAAAAAAAAAAGAAATCCCAAAGAAGTACACACTTGGAGCTAGATACTTGCCTTTTGAACTGGAGAGAGGACTGCCCTGCTGTCTCCTCTTGGCGTCACTGAGGATGTCGATGACCAGCGTAGCAAACTCATGGGCATTAAATCGAGCTAATTTCTGTCTGCCCTAAGGGTGAGAATTGGAAATGCAAAAATAAAAACATGCAAAGGTATTTCAATATCACAGCAAACATTAATTTGTTTTCCATGAGAACTATTTGAAAGCATTTATATAAGAAATCTTCTTAACATTTAAATGCTCATAATCTGTGTTTCTTTTTGTTCATACGGATAGAATGGCTCTGGCTCTGGCTGGGAATGTAGCTCAGTGGTAAAGTGCTTGCCTAGTATGCAAGTGGCTCTGGGGTCTATCCTTTTTTTTTTTTTGGCCTGGGTTCTGTTCCCAAGCCTCTCTGTGCCCAAGGCCTACACTCTACTACTTGAGCCATAGCACCAGTTCTGGCTTTTTCTGCTTATGTGGTACTGAGGAATCGAACTCAAATGTATGCTAGGCAAGCACTTTACTACTAAGCCACATTCCCAGCCCTGGGGTCTATTCTTAACACCACCAAAGTAAGTACATAAACAATATGGTTCTCCTTACTGCTTTCCTTCTATTAATGATTTAGTTCTGAAGTAGACTCAGTAATAAAAAAAATTGGAGATAAATTTCTAACTTTCAGGATAAAGTAATAATCCAGATGTTGAGATTCTTAACAGTCTATATAGCCATTAGTCATAAAAACAAAAATTCCAGCCATGTGCCAGTGGCTCATGCTGCAATCCTAGCTACTCAGGCAGGAAAGTCCGTGAGACTCGTATCTCCAATAAACTACTCAAAATTTTAAAAAATTTTTTAAAAAAGGCCAGAAGTGGCACTGTGGTTCAAGTGGTAGAGTGCTAGCCTTGAGTAAAAGAAGCTCAGGGATAGTTCAAGCCCTAGGACCTGCAAAAACAAAATAAAATTTCTTCCTCATCTACTCACCACTTCTTCTCCTGATGGATCTGAAGCTGAACTTCTTTATTTTGCTATACTAGGGATTGAACTCAGGGGCTTTTGTTTATTAGGCAAGCAATATACCAACTTGAGCCTAACCATCTCCCATACCTATACCTAGCTGAAGTTGTTGTTTTGCCAGTCCTGGCGCTTGAACTCTGGGCCTGCTGTCCTTGAGCTTTTATGCACAAAGCTAGCCTTCTACCACTTAAGCCACAACTCCACTTCCATCTTTTTTTTTTTTTTTTTTTGTAGTGGAGAGTCTCAGAGACTTTCCTGCCCAGGCTTGCTCTGAAGCCTGATCCTCAGCTCTCAGCCTCCTGAGTAGCTGTGATTTTACAGGTGTGAGCCAGGAAGCTAAGGATGTTTTATATGCTCTGTTATTATGTACTTTGCTCTGTATGTAAATCTATTTCAGTTTTATTAGAATATATTCTCAGGGGCTGGGAATGTGGCTTAGTGTTAGAGTGCTTGCCTAGCATGCATGAAACTCTGGGTTTAATTCCTCAGTACCACATAAACAGAAAAGCTGGAAGTGGGGCTGTGGTTCAAGTGGTAGAATGCTAGCCTTGAGCAAAAGTAGTTCAGGGACAGTGCCCTGGCCCTGAGTTCAAGCCCCAGGACTGGAAAAAAAATGTGTGTGTGTGTGTATGTATATGCATATGTATATATATACACACACATATATATACACACACACACATTCTCATACAAGGAACTGGGCAAAAAATATGCTTAATTTGGAAGCTTCAAGAGTGTATATTTATATGCATATGTATATATATACACACGTACATATATATATACATATGCATACATACACACACACACACACACACACACACACACACACACACACACACACACACACTCTTCTTTTCTTTGTGTCTCCTTTTATTGGTAGCTTTAGGGCTTAAACTCAGGATCTTGCATGTGCCAGACAGGTATACTCCGCCACTTAAGCCACTACTCCATTAGCTTTTTCCTTTTTAAATGGTTGTTGTTTTTTTGAAAACAGAATTCTCAAAATAATTTGTCCTGCCTTACCAACTCCCCCATCCTCCCTCTACCACCCACCATCCTGGGATAACATGTATATGCAGCATCAAATGCTTTTCTAAAGCATTCTAGAAACTTAACATCTTTTCTGTAGCAGGAGAAAGCCCATCCTGCTCATCATTAGCTTGGAGCTAATGTCAATTTTCCTTCCAGTTGCTTTCTTTGATTACTGGTCAGGTCAAACGTTTCTTGCCATCTGTAAGTCATTTATATTTCTTCTATGAATTGTTTTATATTCATTTTCAGTCATTTGCTCCCATCCACCTCTTTTCTTATCATTTTTTGAGCTGCATGTATGTTTATGTATATACAAGATAGTAGATTTTAATCAATTGAAACACAATACTCATTTTGGAAAAGGGAAATACCATGACATCAACTACTCCTCAAATATCACTACTTAGTTTTCAAATTAAGCCACTTGCCTGGTTTCGTGTTGATGAGTACTCAGGATTGACCGGAAGAAAGGGGACGACGGTTGTCTCAGTTACCAGGGTGCTGTGGTTTTGCGTGGCAAGCCAGACTAGCCAGAGGAAAGAGCCAGAGATAGAATCTCATCACATCTGGGGTGCCACGGCTCCGCTGGGAGGCACAGCTCACACGTTACTAGGGAGACTTGGGGAAGCACACTCTTGAAGCCAACATACGCAAAAGTATATGTTGATACACGCATTAGGAGGACAGGAGAAATTGGGCAAGTAAAACACTGAGGCTGGCAGCTAGACACTGCCTAGTGATAACAGAAGCTTAGGAAAGCCACATGGTAAGTCACCTGCATCAGTCTCTCGCCTGTCAACTTCATCGTAAACATCCATGGCAAGTTCTTCAAACAAATGATTATTTAGCTGAAAGGAAAAAAATATCAGGGATACAAGGGACAATGATTAACACCAGAAGAGGGGACTATGGCTTATTCACCATTTTACCTCCAATGTCTATTCAAAGCTAGTGCCTGGTAAATACCCACTATTAAGCAGATAATATTTCCTCTAGAAACATCTGCCCCCCTCAGCAACATTACTGCTCTGTAACACACAAACAGGGTTGCTGCTACTGAAAAGGCATGGAGTAACTAACACGTCACCTAAAGGCAGGCTCATCCTCTGCTCTCTTTTGACAGTACTCTGTCTCTTCTGCCCTTCAGAGCATTTGTCAAGCCCCCCCAAAAGTAGGCAATCCCAAGTCCTGGTAGGACAAAGTAATGAAAATGTGCTGACAGAGTGGATAAAAAGCACTCAGGCCCCTGTCTGTCTCAGCAGCAGTCCTCCTAGCAAATCATAACCTGACTAACCAGCATGTTGTATGGTGTCAGCTCATGACACAAACAACACACAGACAGAAGGGGCTAACTGACAGCAGCCAGGGACAGGGATGGGATGGGGGAGATCTCTTCCCAACTCAGACAAGTACAAGCCCCTGCCAAGACAGCTCCAGCTGTATCCTTTCCACCTCATGAAACTCATCCTGACACTTGCACTTGTTAATGTTCCCTGCTCTGTGAGGGCAGATGCTGAGTTTGTTATACTTCCCACTATATAGCTCCCATCTGCAAACAGTACCTGCAACTAAGGAAATATTCACTCAGGCTGATCTGAATATCTTTTATGCAGCCATTTAAAATGTTGGTTACAGAGCTAGACATGAGGGGATATAACTACAACCCCAGAACTTAGCAGACTGAACCAGGAAAATCACAAGTTCCAGGCCAGTCTGGATTACATAAGTAGGAAGCCAGCCTGGGCTACAGTGAGACTTGTTCTCAAAAACCAAAACAATTGGGCTGGAAAGGTAGCTCAGTGGTAGTGTTTGCCTTGCATGCATGAGGTCCTGGGTTCAATTCCTCAGCACCACATAAGCAGAAAATGCTAGAAGTGGTGCTGTGGCTCAAGTGGTAGAGCACTAGCCTTGAGCTGAAGAGCTGAGGGACAGTACGCAGGCCCAGAGTTCAGGCCCCACGACCAACTAAAAAAAAAAAAAACAATTTAAATATAAAATTCCTATAACTATATGGTGTTATAAATATAAAACAGGTACAAAACAATCTGTTTTGAAAAAACAACTAAAAAAAACCCTCCATAACACTGAGTCTGAGTTGATTAAGAACTAGTAATTGAGGATCATTCCAGCATCTTTGATTTTTAATTACATTTTTAATTAAAAATGTAAAAGTCTGTTTCTAGACAAGATAATAAGGTTGGGAACTTGAACGTGCTTGGGAAATACCTTCTTTCTCTAAGGAACAACAAACTGATGTTATTGGAAATACCTTGTTTCTTTCTCTAAGGAACAACAAACTGATGTTATTATCACTTAACAATGACAACAGCCAACATTGACTAGGGGTTTACATCTGAGTTATTATGTTAACATCATCATATTTAATACAACCACTTCTATGAAGATAGGATTTACCACTGTTCCACTGCACATACAAGAACACTAAGGCATAGAAGTTAGTAGGTAGCTCAAAGCCACAAAGCTAATTAGCGAAGAAACTAAGATTCAGGTTTAAGCCTCATAAAATGTTAACATTTACTAAGTCATATATACATTGATCTCTGTTATAGTTCTCTTATTAGGGAGAAAGGAGAAAAGAGAGGGAGAGATGGATGCAGGGAGGGAAGGTAGAGGGAAAGAGGAAGAAAGAAAGGGAGGAAGGGAGGTGAGGAGGGAAGAGAGGAGAGGAGGAAGATAATGTAGAATGAATGCTGTTCTGGCATTGTTTAAGTAGCTACCTTCAAGGAAACCACCAAGTCATAACAGCTGATAAAGGCAGCTCCCCCTTATCTAGTAGTTCTAGTCTGATAGGGTATTCTAATTTAATAGTGCTGTTGGTCTAAGGATGCCCTACCTTTCTGCCTGTTCCAGGGGACACCACCAACTTACAGGGTTGGATAAGGTGCTTTGCAGGGCCAAGGGGTACACCTGATTAATCTGACCCACACCCTGAGTTCTTGAGAACCATATCAAACTCTGACCAAGGTATTTAATGCTTGCTGCATGCTAGATACTATAGACATCACCTCAGCTTTCATGGTTTCTAACCTAGCAAATGCCAGAAGAGTCAAAGAGAATCTGGATTTTATCAAGGTAAGTTATATGTAAGTTTATGAGCAATTAAAATGAAACCACACTGGGAGCTTGTTGCTCACACTAGTAATCCTTGCTACTCAGAAAATTGAGACCTGAGGATCGTGGTTTGAAGCCAGCTGGGCAGTAAAAGTCCAAGAGATTTTTCTCCAATTAACCATGAAAAAGCTGGTAGTGGAGCTGCAGCTCACATGGTAGAGCATTACTTTAAGCAAAAAAACTCAAGGACAGCACCCAGGCCTTGAGTTAAGCCCAGGACTAACAGGAAGGAAAAAAAAAAGGAAACCATGTGATATTTTGTGCTTCCAAAGTATATTATCTTAATCATCTTTATACTACATGAGCTCCTAATTTAAGAAAGGCAATAAAACACAGACACACAAAACCATATATATATAGAACAAAGAGACACCAGACAAATTACATAAAACACATTTATTTCATAATACAGTTAAATACTAATAAGGGCAAGTTAATTTTATGTTATTTAACATATGAGGTTTCTAAGAAGGATCTTTTGTGAAAGGAGGAATGAGCAGAAAGTCACAAAATAGGGAAGCTGCCATTTCAGAGTAGGGCTCTGGGTGAGCTGCTCCCTACACTATAGAGAATGCTAAAAGTTATGTTAGCTGAGTAAGGCAAATGTGCAGACAGAATAAGATTCCTGGAAAAGGATTTAAAGACAACAGCTCTTGGTCTCAGAAAGTGTTAACCGATCAACATATAGAGACACATACAGAACCAGATGGAAAAGTAAGACAAGCTCTGAAAGGTGAGAGTTGGATGGCATTCCTTTAAAGGTCACAGAAAGAAGCTATAAATCTTGGATCTGATCCACAAAACAATGAGGACAATCTGGTGGCTACAGTGGCCAGGAAGCACCCTTTGAGGTTTCACGTGAAGGTGTGGACAAAGGGAAATTGTTCTTGGAGTAGTCAGTTTTCTGGGGCTGAGGCTGAAGTGGGAAGTTTGTAAAGACACAGATAAAAATGACTTTCAGATATATATGTGAGTCTGGACCTAAGGTCACGACCAGCTTTTAAAAAGTTTGGATCAATGGTAGAGATGGGCAATGAGAGTTACACCATGGCATAAGTGAATATAGAACTCATCACCTTGCCAGCATCAACTTTTATCATTCCCCAGCATCCTATGTGGCTACCAGAAGTAATTCCAGGGAAAGAAACAGGGAACTCTCCTGAGGGAAACCAACTTCCTAATAACATAGGTGCAGGTTTCACTCTTAACATGACAGAAAAATGGGCGTATTTGAGGCAGAGCCAGTGAATTAGATATGCTAAAGTTAATAGTGCTTTTGGACTTGTTACATATAACAGTGAACTCAACAGTCTGTTTCTAATTTAACATCACCTCAAAACATGAAATAAAGTCATCTAATATAATGGGTAACTTGGACTGACAATAGGTACCACTGGATACATGAATTCCCGTAATAGAGTCCACCAGTAAAGAGATACTCACAGACTGAAGTTTCTTCTTAGCAGCTTTTGCCAATTCAGACAAATCCAGGCTGCTAAGAAAATGTACAAAACAAGTAAGCAAAGAAATAGAACCACATTTGTGAAGTCTGTAGAAGATTAAGATACTCAGGTTATGAAAATATTATTACAGTTAATGAACACTGTCCAACTCAAGCATTCTATAGCCAAAGAGATAAGTAAGGAAATGGAAATAATCTGGCCAAAGTAACTCCTTCTAGAAATACAATAGTTATATAAAATGGTAGAGAAAAAAAAATTGCCCACCAAATCAATGACAAAACAACTGCTAGCTTAATCTTTAGGCCCTTATGTAAGGAGACACAATTTTTCAAGTATTAAAGAAAAGAGCTGTGGATGTGACTCAGTGGTATAATTTCTGCCTATCATGCATGACGTCCTGAGTTCCATTCACAGCACCATCAGAAAAAATAAAAAGAAGAAACTGTGAAAAACTGGAATGGCAAGATTGCATCTAGAATAGCAGGTAATCATTTCATAAACCCTTGACAGTATTTGTACAAAGCCTAAATAGGATTTAAGGTTCATTCCTGTAACCATGACCTCATCTGATTTCACACAGCAAAATTGGCCTTGTATCTGTTCAGCCTATCAGCTAAGAATTGCTTTTATATTTTTAAATGGTTGGGGAAGAGAAAGAATAACAGTTCATAAAATGTGAAAGTTTAATGAAATTCAAGAGTCAGTATCCAGAAATAAAATTTTACTGGAACAGACATGCCCATTTTTACTCAGTGCCCAATTTTTGCTCAATGCTTTTGTCTATAATGGTAGAGCTGAATAGCTACCATAGGCTGTATGGCTCAGAGCCTAAAATACTCATCTGGGCCCTAGATGAAAGAGGTTTACTGATCGCTTATTATGGACAAAGAACAGAAACTCCATGACCCAGAAATATTTGTAAATATAATCTATTGATACAATGTACTATCATAATTGGTTAAAACTGTGGTTATTATTACTGACTCCAATTTCCTTATTAATAAACTCGTTACTTGTGTGCTTTCAAACTTAAGTTTTATATGGTGGTTTACTTACAGCAGTCTTATTTCCACATTGCATAGCCATAAAAGAGAAAAATGTATGGGCTTTGTTAAAACACAAATAAAATATACTGCTCAAGCACTATATCACCAGGGAAATATTGAGGGTGGGGGGCAAATAAAATTGACTGGTATCCAATTGCCTTACCTGTCTGCCATTTGAGGTATTATAAAGTGCTGTCCATTTTTGTGATCTGAAACAGAAACCAAAGTTTTATTCATAGAAATACTAATATAAGGTCTGTAAAAGAACATGCTCATTATTTTCTCAATTTAAATTTTACAGTTAATATTTCCTGTAACTATGAATTTAGGGTAACAGTAGTTGCCAGATTAGCTACAAATCCCTGAAAAACTGTGCAGAATCAAGAATCACCTCCTCTTTTGTTTTTTGTTGGTCCTTTGGCTTGAACTCTGAGCCTGGGCACTGTCACTCAGTTCTTCAGCTCAAGAATAGTGCTCTACCACTTGAGCCACAGCACCACTTCCGGTTTTCTGGTAAAGGCAGGAGCCTTCACCTCCTCTTTTGTTAGACATCATTCAGTAGAAAACCGAAGCTCAGGGCTGGGAAGGTGGCTCAGTGGTAAAGCGCTTGCCTTGCATGCTTGAGGCCATGGGTTCGATTCCTCAGCACCCATAAGCAAAAAAAAAAAAACAAAAAACCATGTTTGTGTTAACAAGCCGGGTGCTGGTGGCTCACACCTGTAATCCTAGCTACTCAGGAGGCTGAGATCTGAGGATCGTGGTTCAAAGCCAGCCTGGCAGGAGAGACCGTGAGACTCCTATCTCCAATAAACCACCAGAAAACCGGAAGTGGCGCTGTAGCTCAAGTCGTAGAGCGCTTGCCTTGAGCTGGAGCTGAGCAACAGTGCCCAGGCCCAGAGTTCAAGCCCCAAGTGGTAGAGCACTCGCCTTGAGCTGGAGCTGAGCGACAGCGCCCAGGCCCAGAGTTCAAGCCCCACGACCGACAAAAAAAAAAAAAAAGAAAAAGAAAACCGAAGCTCAGCCAAAACTTGTAAGTGCACCCCCAAGATAACAGATGATCTTTAGCCATGGAAAAATGTTGAGGGAGATGAATTAACTCCTGAGTAGCTAGGATTACAGGCACGAGCAATCCATGCCCAGCAATATTAAATTTCCTAATAATATTAAAAATAAAGCCGGGCACTCGTGGTTCACACCTGTAATCTTAGCTACTCAGGAGGCTGAGATCTGAGGATTGCAGTTCAAAGCCAGCCTGGGCAGGAAAGTCTGTGAGACTCTTATCTCTAATAAGCCACTAGAAAACCGGAAGTGGTGCTGTGGCTCAAGTGGTAGAGCGCTTGCCTTGAGCTGAAGAGCTGAGGGACAGCGCCCAGGCCCAGAGTTCAAGCCCCATGACCAACCAAATTAAAAAAAAAAAAAAAAAGAACTTTAATATTAAGTACTTTAATTCAAGATCGCAAAGACTCTCCCCAATATTTTGTTCTAAAAGTTTTATAGTTTTAGGTTAAATATTTAAGCCAATGACCCAGTTTAGTTATTGTGTATGTGTGTGTGTACTGACACCCGAAGTTAGGGTCTCATGCTTTCTTAGTGTTTTTTTTTTTGTTCAAGGCTGCACTTTACCCTTTGAACCACAGTTCTACTTTGGCTTTTCTACTTGGAAGTTAATTAAGTCTCTCAAATGTGTATGGCTTGGCTTTGAACCTCTAACTTCAGTAGATAGGATTAAAGGCATGAGCCAAAAGCCTCCAGTATTAATTACTGTTTTTTGGCCTCACTCTATTGTTTTTCAAATTGGTGATACTGGATTTAAACTTAGGACCTTGTGCTTGCTACACAGATACTCTATTGACAAATGATTCCTCCAAAGCTTTATTAAACTAATTATTTTTATCTTTCTTCCTGACTGGACATGAATCTAGACTTCAATCCTCCTATTTTCCACTTCCTCCTGGTATAAGAGTTGCATGTCACCATGCCCTGCCTGCTTCTTTCACTGAAATGAAGTCTTGTGGACTTTTCTTCTTGGGCTGGCCTGGAATCACAGTCCTCCTGACCTCAGCCACCCATGCAATTAGGACCCAAGCATGCTCCACCATGCCCAGCAATAAATTGAGAAAGGGTTCCTGGACTGACCTCAAATCATAATCCTTCCAATCTCAGCCTCTCAAGTAGTTAGAACTACAACTATGAGACAAAGGCACTGGGCTTGTGCTAATGTTTATATAAAGCTTAAGATTTTGGATTGAAAAGTTTATTCTCTTGCCACGGAGTCCAGTTGTTCCAATATGGTCCATTCTGCTGAATTACCTTTGCACTTTGGTCAAAAACATTTATGAACTTATAATTTTATAACCGATATGTCTTTTTCTGAATTCCCTATTGACCCATGTGTTTACTACTTCAATACCATTGTGTCTTACATACTATAGAGTTTTCTGTAATTCTTAGAATTTAGTGTCTCATGTAACTGTAACCCCTCTGTACAGTATTTTCACAATAAAAACTTATTTAAAAAAAAGTAGTGTGCTTCTTTCCACAATATCCTTTTGTTAAACGGTCTTGACTAGTCTAATTCCTTTGACTTCCTGTTTTAGAATCAGAATATCTGTATCCAAGAAAACTCTTGAATAGAACTTATATCCTATATCATGGAGAACTGACACATTGGATATATTGAATTTACCAATCTGTAAACACTGCATGTGTCTCCGTGCATGTGCATATGTACATACATACAAAATTTTCAATCCAAAAATTTTGAGGGGAGGTAAGGTATATACCTAAGTATTGGGAACTATTATAAATAGTTTTTCCAGTTTCAGTTTCCAACTGTTCACTGCTAGTCTAAAACATAAGATTTTGGGCTGCAGACTTTGTATTCTGTAATCCTATTAAATACGATAGTCTTAAGCATTTTCATATAGGTTCCTTGGGATTTTCTACATAGAAATTATGTTATTACAGGTAGAAGAGTTTTATTTTTTCCTCTTCAATGTCTTTTATCTACTTTTCTTGCCTTCACATGGCAGTAATCAGGATTTCTAGTGTGATATTGAGTAGGAGTAGTGAGATTGGACATACCAGCATGATCTGTTCCTAGTTTGATAAGATTTTTTAAAAATCATGAATGACGTCAATTTTGGCTGAATGTCTTTTTCTATATCAACTGATGATTGCATAATTTTTCTTTTATTCTGCTAAGGCGATGTGGATTAGCTGATTTCCAAATAATGTATGAATCAGGCTTCCATATGGGAAATTCCTCTTGGTTTTATATTTATACATATATATTTTGGTTGTAATGGAGTTCGAACTTCAGGCCCTGTGTTCATTCAGCTTGTTTGCTTGGCTGGCATTCTATCAATTGAGCCATGTTTCCAGTCAAGCTTTTTGCTATATATTTTGTAGATGAATGTCTCAGACTTTTCTGCCTGGGCCATGAACAGATTTCTCTCTCACTCAGCCTCCTGAGTAGCTATAATGATAGAAGCAAGCCACCATTGACTTGTATTTTTCTTTTTATATATTGTTGGATTTAATCTGCTAAGACTTGGTAAGGATTTTTTTTCTATGTTCATGAAGCTTAGTTTTTTGTACTGACTGCAGTAATCATACTACCTCTCAACTCATATGAGAGGTATTCTTTCTCCTATGTTTGTGGGCCTTGGATTTATATTTTATATTTGTATTTTAAAATACAAAACCAAATTCTTTGAAATAAGGATTTATTGGGCTGGGAATATAGCTCAGGGGTAGACGCTTAAATTAGCATGTAGGTTTAATTCCTAGCACCATAAAAAGAAAAACAATATATCATAATTAGATTATCTCCTTTTCGGATAGGTATTGGTAGTCTGTGGCTTTCAAGGAATTAGTTCATTTTATCTAAGCTGTCCCAATTATGCAATTATTTGCAGTGACAGGGATTAAACCCAGGGATTTAGATATGCTAAGCAAGTGCTTTTCCATTGAACTACATTCAAAGCTATTTTTTAGCCAGGTGCTGGTGGCTAATGCCTGTAATCCTAGCTACTCAGGAGGCTGAGATCTGAGGATCAAGGTTTGAGGCCAGCTTGAGCAGGAAAGTCCATGAAACTCTAATCTCCAATAAACTACTCAGAAATGCCAGAAGTAGGGCTGTGGCTCAAATGGTAGAGAGCTAGCCTTGAACACAAAGCAGCTTAGGAACAGCACCAGGGTCCAGAGTTCAAGCCCTAGGACCAGCAAAAAAAAAAAAAAGCTATTTTTTGTTATCCTTTAAAGTTATTTTCCCCTCTTGGGTGGTGTTTAAGTGATTTCTCCATCTTTGTACTCTTTCCTTTTTAAAAAAAGCAGTATGACAAGACATCTGTCAATCTTATTGGTCTTTATAAATAATCTGTTTTTGGTCTCATTGTCTTTTATCTATTTTCCTCTTCCAATTTCATTGATTTCCACTCTATTATTTCCTGTTTTCTGTGTGTTTTGTGTTTGTTTTTTCCTTTTTCAGTTTCTTTGGAGGAAGCTTGATTTTCAACTTTTTTCCCTAGTTAAATCATTTAATGATATAAATTTCCCTACACCATTATGTTAGCTACAATTTGATACTTTCATTTAGTTGAATATATTTTCTAATTTTCCTAATTCTCTTTGAAACTTCCTTTTGGACCCATGGAAGTGTGTTGTTTGATTTCTAAGCAGTTGAATACTTTAAAGTCGATTTCTAGCTTTATTCCAGTATGGTCAGATAATAAAATGCTTTGCGGGCACCTAATTCCTTTAGATTTTCTATGGTCATTTTAAGCACCAGCATATGGCTTACCTGTTCAAGAGCATATGTATTCTGATAGATAGAATATTCTATATCACCCAGATCCAGTTGATTTGGGGTTTGATTATAACTCCATCTTTAGTCTACCCTATTATTATATTTTCAAAAAGATACATGTTGAATCAGGCTGGTGTCTTAGTCCTGTAATCCTTGCTACTTAGAATACTGAGATCATGGTTCAAAGCCAACCTAGGCACAAAAGCCCATGAGACTCTTATCTCCAGTGAACCAGCACCCAGTCAAGTTCCCTTCTTGATCAAGCAAGCATTCACTCTTAGCCTCCTTGGGGTTTCGGCTCCATTCAGCACAACAGGCAGATGGCATATGCTTACTCTACCTTGCTCCAAATGGAGCCACACTAGAGATTGTTAATTCTGTTGTACAGCCAAGGTGGAAAATCTCTGTAAATATGTATGTGGACATTATACATCAGGGGTTGGCAAACTTTTTATATATGTGACCACACAGTAAATATTTTAGGCTTTGTAGCAAGCTGCCACAACACGCAATCTATTTAATTCTGCTGCTGCTGTTTGAAAATAGCCATAAATAGGAATAAGTAGGCAGGTATGGTTAGCTTATAATAATTTCATTTAATAAAATAAGTATCAGGCTGGAGTTGGTTCACAAAACATAGTTTGCTCCCTTGTTGCATATTACAAATATGCAGCAAGGCTGGTTAAATGGCAGTTTATTTCTGGATTTTTGTCCATCTTTAGATGGAAGAATCCAAATAACAAAGGTTACTGCTTTGCTTTTTCATTGCTAGTCCCATGATGTTTAAGAACTGTATACACATTCAGCTTTGATTTGGTTATGTTCTTTGATTTTTCAGTCTCTTCTCTAGAGCTACAACGAAGTTTTAACAACTAGAAATTCAAGGAAATGATCAATTTTACATTAAACTGGAAAAAACTGCAGAGAAAAAGCTGGGCTTGGTGGCTTATACAGATAATCCTACACCTGTGAGGTGGAAGCAGGAGGTTTCTGAAGTCAGGGCCAATTGGGTTGCATGGTAAGACTCTATCATGAAACAAAACAAAACAATTCTACAGCTCTCTTATCCTTTCAAAAAGAAAAAAAACTTTATTAACCATTTTCTTTAGGATATGTTAATACAGAGGTTATTAAAAAAATAGTTACCCAACTTGTTTTTCCAGAATGTTCTAGACTTGGAGATGTGGTAAGGTTGTTGTCCTTTTACTCACCTGGTTTCCTGCCACAGAGATAGAAGGCCAGTCTGTCAGTCAGCTCATACTGTATTTCTACAAGGCGCTCTGCCAGTTCATGGTGCCCTCCTTGCCTACCAAAAAAAATCCACAAAGATGCATTGAAACTGCACTAGTCACTGACTTTTGAGTATAACAGTACAAAGACATCCCAAGACACCTGAGCACTTTATAAAACATGACGTTTTAGAATAATCAACCTTTGTCTGTAAGGTAGATTGTTAAGATCTACTTTGAGTTCCACCTTTACAAACTGGGTTGTTGGTTTTGTTTTCTTTTTCCACCCTTAGTATCCTCTTTCCTTCATTCTATTCCAAATAGAATACTTAATAAATTTAAGGACTATAAGAGGGATAAAGACAAACCTCATTTAAGTGAGAAAATAAAATTAATGGTTGAGGGTAGAGATTCCCAAAAGTTAATCAGTGTTTCCAGAAAGATACAACGTCCAGGCCTCATCCCTCTGGAAAGCTGAGGATATGGCCCAGTAGTAGAGCACTTGCCTAACATGCACAAAGCCTAGCACTATAAAAATTAGACATACACCCAAAAGGTGTCACCTTACTCCTTGGAAATTCTCAATCAGGATTAAATGGGCCCAGGCAGCAAGATTTTGAATGCTCCTTCCCCCAGGTAATTCTGGTGTGCCCAGTCAAGTCTCGGTGACAGTCTAGAAACCTCTTCAAGGACTAATTCAGGAAGAAATAGGCCAACCTACTGAAGAATTCATATATGCAACTACTTTTACTTCCTTATCTTCAATATCCATGACAAAAAATATTGTCCTTTCTCACTCATGAAATAAATATTTGACTGTCTCCCCCCCCCCCCCCCCCCCCCCCCCCGCTTTTTTTGGTGCTAGTATCTGGACTTGGAATTCAGGGCTTGGAGTTCTCATTTGGCTTTCATTTTTCTTTCTTTTTTTTTGGTCGGTCGTGGGGCTTAAACTGGGCTTGGGCGCTGTCCCTGCACTCTTTAGCTCAAGGCCAGTGCTCTACTGCTTGAGCCACAGCGCCACATCTGGTTTTCTAATGGTTTATTGGAGATAAGAGTCTTATGGAGGAAGTGGCGCTGTGGCTCAAGTGGTAGAGCACTTGCCTTGAGCTGGAGAGCTGAGGGATAGGGCCCAAACCCAGAGTTCAAACCCCACGATCCACAAAAAAAAAAACAAAACAAAAAAAGAGTCTTTTGGACTTTCCTGCCCGGGCTAGCTTTGAACTACGATCTTCAGATCTCAGCCTCCTGAGTAGCTAGGATTACAGGCCTGAGACACCGGTTCCTGGTTCATTTGGCTTTCTTGCTCACAGCTCTCTACCACTTGAACCATATCTCCAGCCCTCCAAATATTTATGTCTCTCAGGATCTTTTAGTAACATAGCATATAAATTATTATAAGAGACTACCATGGGCTTTCTTCTTCAAAGACCAAATCTACTTTCAGTTAGTTTCTCTTCTCACCATTCAAGGCACTGCAGACTACCTTCCAATTTAGTGCACATCTTTTTAACATACACATGGTGTTTTCTTTCTTTCTCTCTCTCTCTGCAATACTGATGTTTGAACTCAGGGCCTCAGGCTTTCCGGGGAGGTAGCTCTATCACTTGAGCCATGCTCTAAGCCTTTTTTGCTTGTGTTATTTTTACAGGTAGTCTTGAGTTTTTAGTCTGGGGACAACCTCAGACTTCAATATGTTTATTTACAGCCTCCCTCAAATAGCTGGTACCACAGATAAATACCACCACCATGACCAGGTTATTGGCTGAAATAGGGTCTGACTAATCTATTGCTCAGTCTGGCTTCCAGTTGTAACCCTCTAGATCTCCATCTCCTAAGATAGCTGAGATTACATGTATGAACCATCTCACACAGCAGGTTTTTTTGCTTTTGTTTTTTACATTTGTACATCATGACTCCATCTCACAAACAAAAACACATACCGTAATGAAAGAGGTGATATCGATCAAGACGCATTGTACTTATAAAATGATTTGTTGAATGATAACCCCTTTGTACAATTATTTTTTTGTTGTTGTTGTCAGTTGTGGGGCTTGAACTCAGGACTTGAGTGCTGTCCTTGGGCTTCTTTGTGCTCAAGGCTAGCTCCACTTCCAGTTTTTGAGGGGTTAACTGGAGATAATAGTCTCATGGGGACTTTTCTGCCTGGGCCGGCTTTGAACCATGATCCTAAGATCTCAGTCTCCTGAGTAGTTAGGATTATAGGTGTGAGCCACCAGCACCCAGCTGTATAACTACTTAAATATAATAAAATATAAACAAATTTTCAAAAAATTTAAAGAACTGTACAGACAGTATCCATTATGTTTGCCATAAAAAATTTATAGTTAACCAGGTGCTGGTGGCTCACGCCTGTAATCCTAACTACTCAGGAGGCTGAGATCTGAGGATCATGATTTGAAGCCAGCCCAGGCAGGAAAGTCTGTGAAACTGGAAGTGGAGCTATGGTACAAAGTTGTAGAGCACTAGCCCTGAGAAGAAAGGCTCAGAGACAGTGCCCAGGCCCCCAGTTCAAGCCCCATGACTGCAAAAATAAATAAATAATTACCGTTTACCTTTTAGTACACTAAGCACATCTATCCATACCAATGACTAATTTAAAATTTACTTCATTTAAAAAAATGATAACTAGGGCTGGTGCCATCGCACACCTGTAAGCTGAGAGCTCAGGATTACAGTTTGAAGTCCACTACAGCAGGAAAGTCTATGAGACTTTTATCTCCAACTAACCTCAAAAAAGCCATTATTGGTGCTGTGGCTCAAGGGCTTGAGCAATAGTCTTGAGCACAAAATCTCAGGGATGTTGCCTAGGCCCTGAGTTGAAGCCCCAGGACCAACAAGCATGGGTGCGCACATGTGTGTGTATACGTGCGTACGCGCACGCGCACACACACACACACACACACACACACACACAAAGAAATTTGGGCTAGGTGTGGTGGTCCACCCTGTAATCACAGCTAGTCAGAAGTCAGTGATCAGGAGGACAGAAATTGGAGCCAGCTCAAAGCAAAATGTTAGCAAGATCCCATCTCAACCAATAAGTCAATGTGGTGGTGCACACTAATGGTCTCAGCTAGGCAGGATTTAAGTAGGTGGATCACTTTTGTGGCAAAACCACAAAACTCTATCAGAAAGATAAAGAAAAACAGATGGTGATATGACTAAAGTAATAGATCAAGAAGTAGAATAAACATGTGGCATTGAATTCAAACCCTGTTGCCACACACAAAAAAAAGAGTAGGTATTGTTTTTTGCAGCATTAGGGCTGGAAGCCAAAGCCTTATGTATGCTAGCCAAACACTTACCATTGATCTTACACCACCAGACCTGTGTAATTCTTGATAACTGACTTATACTCCAACTACAAATCAAACACCATTGTGCCATACAGGATCAAATAAAAAAATGGGAAGCTAAACACAATGGTTTATGATTCTACCCTTCTGTGACTCTGCCAGGCAAACCTTAATAATTTGAAATGTCTTCATTTGCAAAATAAAATATAAATCTTTAGCTGGGCGCTGGTGGCTCACGCCTGTAATCCTAGCTACTCAGGAGGCTGAGATCTGAGTATCGCGGTTCAAAGCCAACCTGGGCAGGAGAGACTGTGAGACTCCTATCTCCAATAAACCACCAGAAAACCGGAAGTGGTGCTGTAGCTCAAGTGGTAGAGCGCTCGCCTTGAGCTGAAGAGCTGAGGGACAGCGCCCAGGCCCAGAATTCAAGCCCCATGACCGACCAAAAAATATATATATATATAAATCTTTAAAGGGGTTAAATATTAATCAATCACAATTTCATGACTTAGCAGTAAGTTATATCCACTGTAAAAGAGAGAAGTGGCAAGAATATTGGCCTCCTACCTTGCATAATCAACAGGAGTTTTCCCACTAGAATCCTGGGTGCCTGGGTCAGCGCCATATACTGCCAACAACTCAGCTTGTAAAATCTGTCCTGCTTTTGAAGCGACATGGAGTGGGGTGTTTCCTTTTTCCTAAGGATCATTAATTGAAAGTCAAAATTAAAAGGCAACCCTTCTGTACAGTATTTTCACAATAAAAATATATTTAAAAAAATTAAAAGGCAAATCACACAATCCGGGAGCTGGTGGCTCATGTTTATAATCCTAGATCTTCAGGAGGCTGAGATCTAAGGATTGCGGTTCCAAGCTTGCCCTGGCAGGAATGATTGTGAGCCTCTTTTCTCCAATTACCAAAAACTGAAAGTAGATCCGTGGTTCAAAGTGGTAGAGCACTAGCCTGAGCAGAAAAGCTCAGGGACAGTTCCCAGGCCCTGAGTTCAAGTCCCATGACCGACAAAAATAAATAAATAACAAATTACGTAAACTAAAATCTACAAACACTACTCAGTTTCAATTTATTATCAGAATCAATAGGTATTTTCTTACAGGATGAAAGAAGTTGGCCTGGGCTCCTAAAGATAGCAGTCTCAGACAGGTTTCAAGATTCCCTGTTCTCACGCTTGAATGAAGTTGCTAAAATATACACAAAAAACAAACAAACAAGAGTATTTGTTAAAAGCATCAGGAATTATGTACCAGAACAGCTGGCAGCCTATTTTAATATGTTACATTAGTAACACATAATCTTTATTCGGCTAAGTATAATAGATGGAACACCCTCTCTCTTGAGCACCAGGTCTTTACTACTGATAAGGAAACCAGAGCTTTGAAACTAGAGCTAATCTGCTAAAAGGCAGGACTCAGTCAAGAAAGTAGCACCATTAGAACCTAAGGGAAAAGCAGTATGAGCAACTACTAGTAACTACTCTTGAGGGACGTGAATTTTCAAACCCTATCCTCTTCAAGTTTTGTGATCTCGAGAAAGTTCTTTTTTTTTTTTTCCCCCAGGGCTGAGGACCGAACCCAGGGCCTTGCGTGCACTGAGCGGGCGCCCTTCCACTGGGCTAAACCCCCAGCCCCTCGAGAAAGTTCTTTAAGTTGATGAAACCTCAGTTTCCTTATCTCTAAAGTGGTGATAAAGGGCTGGGAATGTGGCTTAGTGGTAGAGTGCTTGCCTGGCATGCATGAAGCCCTGGGTTCGATTCCTCAGTACCACATACAAAGAAAAAGCCAGAAGTGGCTCTGTGACTTTAGTAGAGTGCTAGCCTTGAGCGAAAGAAGCTCAGGGACAGTGCCCAGGCCCTGAGTTTAAGCCCCAGGACTGGGAAAAATAAAAAATCTTCAAAGTAGTGATAAAAAAAAATCTATCAACAGGGCTATTGTAAGAATTCAATAATAAAGAGCCTACCATTGAGCCTAGTACATAGAAAATGCTCAGTGAGGGCTGGGAAGGTGGCTCAGTGGTAGAGCGCTTGCCTTGCATGCCTAAGGCCCTGGGTTTGATTCCTCAGCACCACATAAGCAAAAAGAAAAAAGCCGGAAGTGGCACTGTGGCTCAAGTGGTAGAGCACTAGCCTTGAGCTGAAGAGCTAAGGGACAGCACCCAGGCCCAGATTTCAGGCCCCACGACCGGACCACCCCCGCCCCCAAAAAGAAAAAAAAGAAAATGCTCAGTGAACTCAGATGCTGTTATAATTAGCTGCTTTCATTGTTATTGAGCCTAGGGCTTTAAATTGTACACTATGTCAACTACAGGTCTCTGCCTCACACCATATCATCATAGAAAAGCTCAACCTTTCAAAACATGAATCTCCTTCCTTCACATCTACCTGGGATTAGCCAAGATATAATAACCTTCATTATAGGAATAATAATAACTACTCTAACACCTACACATAAGTTGGTTTTTTTTTCCTTGGATGTTTTTGTTTTGGTAAAGAGTATTCTGAACTGTGAGTGCCCAAGCTCTGCGAACATATGTCAAAAGCACTGCTTCAAATAAAAAAGATACATCTTTTTTCATAGCATCTCTCAAAAACATTCTAAGACCCACATAAAGAATACCATCTGGGGATGGGAATGTGGCTTAGTGGTAGAGTGCTTGCCTAGCATGCATGGAGCACTGGGTTCGATTCCTCAGCACCACATAAACAGAAAAAACTGGAAGTAGCACTGGAAGTGGCTCAAGTGGTAGATTGCTAGCCTTGAGCTAAAGAAGCTCAGGGACAGTGCTCAGGCCCTGAGTTCAAGCAACACGACTGGCAAAAACAAACAAACAAAAGGAGAATACCATCTGCTTAGTTTACAAATACAATAAACCATCTTGTATAGCATAGCTTTCAGTTGTAGCCTACTTTCTGAAAACTCTTCTCACTATGCGACCTAGAACTCTGAAGAACTCAGCCCTCTTCCTTTGCTATTTCATTCTCTAGTCCTTTTCAGAAACAATCAATCATCCTGTAAACTTTCTAGTCTCTTCTAGAAACAAACGTGGCTTCTATTTCCAAATTAAACACAATATAATTTAAAAACCATGTAGGAAAAAAGAAAAGGTTTCTAGACACTTGTTTTCTCTTTGCTCTGTACCTCTATCTGGAGGAATGGCTGCCGTTTAACTTAAGATTAAAGACAAAAATGATTACAAAAAAAGCTGGTATTAAGTGTACAAAAATGAAATTTTTTTCTTCTGTATTCCTTCTATTTTTTCAAGTCACCATACAGCTTGTTTAGAGACGGTATTTTAAATGCGACCCACCTTACTAAGGTCTTTGGCAGTCACACTATCATCATCACGGCAGGGCAAGCGGTGGACAAATGCTAACATCTGATACTTGGCTCTGATGAATTCTGCTTTATTGGGACTGGTTCAAAAACAAAACAAAACAAAACAACAACAAAAACAGTTCACTTGCAGTTCAGATTCAGCATTTCCCATTCTTTGTATTGTAAGAAGAGGAAGTAACCCACATCCCCCACCCCCTACTCGAGAATAAAACGAACAAAGATGGAATAGGTTTCAGCAGTGTTGAAGGCCTGAAGTCTGAAAACATACATTAGTCATTATAATGGTGGGTCTGCAGAATAACTGCTTTTTATAGCATGCCTCTTCTCTGTGTAATTTTCTTAATTCACTGTAAACTTAGGAGGAAGTGGCAGTTAGTTCCATCTTACAGGTGAGGAATCAGGCGGAATGGTGTTCCAAACTAGCTTTCCCCTTCTTTTTAAGTCTGATTACAAGCAAGTCTTGGCCCCCAAGTGGTGAGATCACTAACTCATGTCAGGTAGCCATGGAGAAGTGGAAGGGTCCTGCCTGCTTCAGTCCAAGCTTCCAGCAGCTGCCCCGCCCTGCCTCCCCTTGTGGAGGCTGATCAAAAATAGCTGCACTTTCAGCACACCCCATTTGTTGTGAAGAAATAGAAGTATTTATAAACATTCCACTCACTGTACTTTATCCTGTGGATTAGCTTTACGTCTTCCACTCATAATAGAGGCAGGGTCCAGCAAAGAATGCTCCCATATAGAGTTAGCACCATTGTTATACAAGGTCTCAACCATCTAAAATGAAGCAGTATGAAATTATGTATCTTAAATTCTTTCCACAAATATTTGAAGGGAATCAGTGACAGAAATTATAAATACTAACATGTTTGGCATACCATTCATATCATTGTTTTCTGATTTTAGAGTGTAGAAGACCCTATGCAGGATTCAATTCCAACAAGCAGGATAGCTAAATCCATAAATGGGTTCGGTTGTACTGTACACATACAAACATAGAAGTAGATAAAAGAAGTATAAACTTTGACACCAGTAATGTTTTCCAAGCCTGAACAAATACTGTTTTACTCACATACCCTGAGTACTATTCACTTACTTTTCTTAAAATATACACATTTTAAAGAACTTTTATTAACAACTATGGTCTGATGTACCAGTAGTTTTGTATGCAACCATTAAAGCAAATATTGAGTATAGTATGCATCTTGAGTAACACTGCTGGCTTATGGGTCTTAGGATTTTTTTTTTTTTTTTTTGGTCTGTCATGGGGCTTGAACTCAGGAACAAGGTACTGTCCCTGAGCTTTTTTACTCAAGGCTAGCACTCTACCACTTTTGGCTACAGCTCCACTTTTGGCTTTTTGGTGGTTAGTTGGAGATAAGAGTATCATGGACTTTGCTGTTCAGGCTGGCTTTGAACTACAATCCTCAGATCCTCAGCCTCCTGAGTTGGAAGGATTACAGGCTTGAGCCATAGTGCCTGGCCAGTGTGGCTTTTTAAATAGACCTAAGAGCAATGCATTCCTATTCACATGAGACTAGGATATTGGAAGTGTCTAAACAAAATATCTAAGCAAACAACATCTCAATTTCATTTCAAAGAATGACACTTAAATGACCCCATCTGCTTTTCACATTTATATCAGAGATCCAAACCCATGTGCACTGGTCCCTGGTTCATTCAGGCAAGCTAAAAGGAAATGGTATGCAGCTGTCACAGAAGACAAATAAAGCAAAACACATTTAATCAATTTCCAAGAGAACTTGAATACATATCCAACATAGGAGTACAAGTGATGCGACATCAGAACTGAAATAAGAGTCCACTCAACAAAGTATTAGGCATGCCATCAAAACACGTAACCTTCATTTGGTCTTTGACTAGTTAATGACAGCTTTAAGAAAATTTAAGTAAAATGTTTCAGAAATTTCACTGGAATTCTGGTCCAACTAAGTAGAAAAAAAAAGTTTTTAAAAGTATTAGCAGGTATTCAGGAACAAAATATTAGTAAGAAGTTTCTCAGGATACTGGTGGCTCACTCCTGTAATCCTAGCTACTCACAAGGCTGAGATCCAAGGATCACAATTCAAAGCCAGCCTAGGCACAAAGTCTGTGAAACGCTTATCTCTAAATTAACCACCCAAAACTGGAAGTGTAACTGTAGCTCAAAGTGGTAGAGTGCTAGCGTTGAGCAAAAAGCTCAGCGACAGTGCCCCAGGCCGTGAGTTCAAGCCCCAGGACTAACAAAAAACATTAAAATAAATAAAATTTCTCAGGAAGCAGTGTTCAGAACACTGAGCACACAGTATGTGGGAAGATTGACTATAAACTATTTCTAGTAACAGTTTAGAAAGTCAGCAGAAAAATACTATTGAAAATTCTACTTGCATATTTTAAATGTTAGATTTCTATTTATTTACCTCTGCATAAAACTGAACCTTTGGGTTGGGAATATGGCTTAGCAGTAGAGTGCTTGCCTAGCAAGCATGAAGCCGTTGGTTTGATTCCTCAGTACCATATACACAGAAAAAGCCAAAAGTGGCACTGTGGCCCAAGTGATAGATTGCTAGCTTTGAGCAAAAAGAAGCTCAGAGACAGTGCCCAGGCCCTGAGTTCAAGCCCCAGAACTGGCAAAAAAAAAAAGAAAAGAAAAGAAAAAAAGAACCTTTGGTACAAGATTTATGTCAGGAGAGAAAAAAGTCCTAAATGAGGAATTCAGTACTGGAAAATATTTATACTATATGTAGAATTAATGGGCAAAGCACTTCTATTCAATTATGATGCAAATAGTTTATGAGACCTAAGAAGTACATGAAGAGAAATCTTATTTGTTAACAAAAAAGGGTTCAAACATAAATTATGAATTGTAAGAACTCTTATCCTTTACCTGAAGCAGTGTTGGAGGCCACGGCGTGTGTTTAAGATGCCTTACTTGGGAGATATGACGCCCTAGACTCCGATGAACGCTGCAACACTCGTCACATATAAAAGTTCCCCTATTTACTGATGCCCAGGAAGGATCTGGAAGAGAATGAAATCTCATTGGCAAGGATCCCAGTGCTACTATATTTCAAGAAGGCAAAAGATGACTTAGGTTTTTTCCTGTGTGTTTCCCCGACCCCAACCCCCCCACCCCAGAAAAACAAGGCATTTTGTTTGGTATACTCACTAACATATCAAGCTGGAGATCTTGTCTGCTGATACCACCTACCTTGGCTGACCAGGTAAATTGTTAGCTGAAACTAACAGCCCCAAATAAGCAGCTACTTTCTTTCTGGTTTAGGGGTACCTGATTGTGGATCTACAATCTCAGATGTATGTACTTTCATTTTATGTCAGAGAAGCAAACTGAGAGAATACAGATGAATCATTCTGGCTTCATCTCCACATAGAGCAAAACAATATAATTTTGATTATCCACCTAGTGGTGTCTACAGTAAACAGAGAAACAACTGCTGCCCCAACCCACGGGAAGAAGTCAACACATCTATCTGCTAACAGAAAGCTGTGAGTAACAGAACTATAAAACCACTCAGCTGCCATGGTCTGAGGGCAGGGAAATATGGCCCCCTCCACTAGGCAATGCTCTTTGATTACCACTGTTTTAAGCAAACTTCAGAGTCTAAGCTTACAACTGATCTGGGGGGGGAGGGGGAAGGAGTAAAAAAAATTTTTTTTTGTCGTGGTGGGGCTTGAACTCTGGGTCTATGCACTAACCCTCAGCTCTTCAGCTCAAGGCAAGCATGCTACCACTTGAGCCACAGCTCCACTTCCAGTTTTCTGAGTGGTTTATTAGAGATAGAGTCTCATGGACTTCCTTGCCCGGGCTGGCTTTGAACCATGATCCTCAGATCTCAGCCTCCTGAGAAGCTAGGATTACAGGCATGAGCCACCATCGCCCAGCTGCATACAGTACTTACTTATCCTTTCAAATCCCACAGAATTTCATTAGACCTTCTTTCAAACAAGGAATAATTTGTATCAGGCGAACAGGGGGAATCTGAGCACTTAGAAGCCAAATATTTACAGACAAGCCTTGCACACTTCATCAGATTCACAGAGGGGTGATAGTAGGTGCCACTCAAACTGCCTAGTCTAAGGGTTATATTTTAAAATTCTTCAATTGTCCACAAAAATCTCTAAAATGCATTCACATCATCTTTACCATTTTTTGGTAACTGTTTATCCAAACCCTTTCATGAACCATATAATGAAAAGTTATGGGATTTCAATCAGATAAATCGTAGGAGCCAGAAAGTGTAGTGGTAAAGAGGCTGGATCTGGGGCCAGGAAGGTGGTTCAACAGTAGAGCGCTTTCTTCGCATGCATGAGGCCCTGGTTCAATTCCTCAGCACCACATAAACAGAAAAAAAGGCTGGAAGTGGCACTGTGGCTCAAGTGGTAGCATACTAGCCTTGAGCTGAAGAGCTCAGGGACAGTGCCCAGCCCCATAACTGACCAAAAAGAAAAAAAGAGGCTGGATCTGGAGACAAGCAGTCCATGCTTTGAATCCCAACTCGGACACTTATTGCACAGTAATCTCAGGCAAGTTACTATTTTGAGTATATTCCCTGTATGTTAAATAAGTATAAAACACATCACAGGGAGATGACAATATAAAGAGCAAGTAAATGGCCTCTATACATCAATATTCAGTAATGTTAGCGGTTATAGCTTTTGTGAATTATTTTCTAAAAAGCTAAAATGATCATTGGAGAAAGTTTATGGTTGGAAATACTTAAAATATTGAATATTTCATGTGAACACCATACAATTCCAGTGGAAATATTAGTGGAGTTTCCAGGTAATTCCAAGTTTGTTATACTTGAATAAATTTAAAACATAAACATATAGGTAGGCACTGGCAGCTCCTTAGGAGGCCAAGATCTGAGGTCCAAAGCCAGTCTTGGCAGAAAAATTATGAGACTCTTATCTCCAACTAACTACTAAAAAGCTGGAAATAAGAGCTGTGGCTCAAGTAGTAGAGCACTAGCCCTTAATGGGGGGGGTGGGGGGGAGGGAAGCGCTAAGGGATAGCCTGGGTTCTAGCTAGGTTCTGGCAAACACACGCACATACACAAACACAATCAGGAACGTGGCTCACCATTTGCCAAGCTTTTGTGAGGACTGTCCCCAGGACACAGACACACTTATAAATAAACTAAATTAAAAAAAAAAACTGCTGGACATGGTGGTGTACAGCACTCAGGAGGCTAAGACAAGAGCATCTGGAATTTGAGCCTCCCTGGGCTCCATGATGAGACCTTGATTCAAAAGAGAAAAAGAAATGTACCAGGCACTGGTGGCTCGTATGTGTAATCCTAGCTACTCAGGAGGCTAAGATCTCAGGATGTCTGTTCAAAGCCAGCTAGAACAGAGAAGTCCAAAAGACTGTCTCCAATTAACCAGCAAAAAAGCTGCACTGAAGGGGTGGCTCAAGTGGTAGAGCATCAGCCAAGAGCAGAAAAAGCTCAATGAGAGTACAAGGTCTGAGATGAAGCTCCAGTACTGGCACACTCACATGTGTGTGTTGGCACACACACACTCACACACACACAAATTAGTCAATTAGATCTTAAAAGTAAATAAGACATCATAGTTAAATGCTTCCATAAATCATTCAGTGACATAACCGTGAATACTCCGATGTCATCCTTAAGTTACCCTTTTTTCCCCTTAGATAGGAAACATTAAGATGAAGAATCCCTTATAAAGACACATAAAAACATGGAACTAGAGGCATGGTAAAGCTCCAGCCATGAACAAAAAAAAACAGCAAGAGCTTGAGGCTGAGTTCAAGCCTCAGTATCAGCAGACACATACATACAAACACACACACACACACACACACACACACACACACACACACACACACACACACACAGAGGCACACATATACATCTTAGGCAAGAACATAATTTTTTACAGGTAGTACTACTGACAAGATTGAAAACGGGGCTGGGAAGGTGGCTCAGTGGTAGAGCGCTTGCCTTGTATGCCTGAGGCCCTGGGTTCGATTCCTCAGCACCACATAAGCAAAATGAAAAAAGCCGGAAGTGGCACTGTGGCTCAAGTGGTAGAGTGCTAGCCTTGAGCTGAAGAGCTGAGGGACAGTGCCCAGGCCCAGAGTTCAGGCCCCACGACCGACCCCCCCCCAAAAAAAAAAAAAAGATTGAAAGCATAATTTTGCTTTGCACATAGTATTCTTGGAGAAATTAACAGGAACAAGATGATAAGGATTTAACATATATTAAATGAGGTTCTCTGTTAATCATTTAATCATCATAAATCAGAATCCACAGGAAGAATATTAACATAGAAAAAACAAAACTGAGTACATATGAGTGAGGCTGGATGAAAGCTTAGTTTACCTGGATGTTTTATGCTGAGACTATTTAATGTGGCATATACAGACACCACAAATCATTAAAAAAAAATGTGCCTTCTCAAATCTTAGGAAATTCTATATGAAAGAAAGTAGGCCCATTAGCATTTTCTGGGAGAAGACCTCAGCATTAGTATCTCAAAGGTAGCTATTTCACTAGGACAATGCAGAAAAGGCAGCATAAATTCCTAGCTACTCAGTTCACAGAGCATTTCAAGGTAGCCTCATTATATTCAAAACAGGAAGGAAGTGACTCAAGTCCCTGTAGATTAGACATTCAAGACAACTAAAACCATACAATGGAAGAGAAACTCTTCTGAAAAGCACAAAACACTCCAAAAGTGAAAGATAGCACTTCAGAGTGCCAATGGAGAAGCAAATTTACCTTTGCCCCAGATAATCCCTTGAGAAGTAGAAGACTATGGATCTCAAGAGGAAGTCTGACATTAGACACATGTGAATCCAATGCATCACAAAAAGTTCAACTGAAAACAGGCAAGAAAAGGAAGTGGAACAAAGAAAAAAAATGTTTTCTCTAAACATATCCTTCGTAGAGAACCATAGAGTTTGTATAAACTTGGTTTATAAAAACACCTCTTTCAAAAACTCCTCATCCTGTGAAGAAAACCGTTACCACCACCTGCAGTACTCAAGCCATGAAATAATCATATGAGTTATCACAGTACTATTTAAAATCAAGTCTTTCCTTCTAAATGACAAGGCGAAAATCAGAACAGCTGCAAAGGCACTGCTGTTCAATGATTTAATTAAGATGGTTTATTGGACATTGGTGTGCCAAGAAAGCCACCTGACATTTAAATCACTTCAAACTCAAATCTAATAGGTCCAAGGATGAAAAACAACATAGACCGTGCAAGATCTATCACTTTGGGCCCAACTGCTAAAACAGATCGGATCTTTAAATCCAGTTATGCTGCCTTGGAAAAAGTGGCTGTGGCTTTTCGAAGCCCCTAACATGTTTACATCACCAGTGACTGTGTTTGGTAAGTTGTAATTAATGTTGTAGCTTCGAATGAAACTCTAGCTTTATGGCACTGAAACGGAATAACATAATACGAAAGAGGACCCAAAACAAAACAAAACTTAGGTGGCTCCTAAGAGTATCCATTGAATCTTCCTAACCACTGAGCATTGTGTTCCCACTTATCCCCATCGGAAAAAATGAGGAAATCAAGGCTCTGGAGAAGAGAAGTCACGAATCCAAGGTCATCCAAAAGCAACATTTAGTGTGAACCTAGGCCCTACGGATCCACTAAACTTAAGCCATGCGTGGGCTCCTAAGTGCTGATTACTGTCCACCAGACCCCGACGCGGAGCTTCTCCCCGTGGAGAGGGGCTGCCGGGAGGTCCGGAGCAGGGCAGTCATCACCGGGGACCCTCCCTCCACAAGGGAATCCGGGAACGTCTCAGTTCAGGGTCGCCTTTCGGGGTCCGAGGGGGTGCGTCCGGTGAGTGGTGACACCTGCAGCCTGGGGGGGGGGGGGGGCGCAGCAGGGAGAACGCCCGCATTTTACTTCTGTAAATTAGCCTTCCCGTGGATTGCCCAAACCCTTCCTGTCAGGGAGCGGCTGCAAGCCCGGCCTCGGCCCCGCCGCCTCCCTGGCCAGCCTGGAACCGAGCGAGGGGCTAGACGGAGGCGGCGAGAGGGAGCAGCGGGCGGCGGCCCCCGGCCCGGCCGGCTGACAGGCCCGGGACCAGTCCCGTCCCAAGGCCACCCCGGGGCTCCACTAACTAGAACCCCGGCCTCGGAGCGCGGGGCTCGGCGGCAGGACCCACCCGGCCCGAGGGGGCGGCCCCGGGGTGTGGGGGTCCGGGCCGGGAGAGCAAGAAGGGAGCGGGCCCGGCTGCTGAGACTCACCCGGCCCACTGCAGTCAGCACACACGTCGCTGCTCCGGAGCCGCTTCGACATGGCTCCAGCCTCCACCTGCCGGGACCCAGGGACCCCAGGACAGCGAAGGCAACTGCGGCTGAGGCGGCGGCAGCGCTTCCGCTCTAACGGGTCGCGGCGGCAGCGCTGGCAGCGGCGCCTCTCCCCTCAGCGCCTCACAAGCCGCAGCGCAACGCGCACGCGCGGGGCGGGGCCTGCCTGCGATTGGCAGGCCATGTGACCGGAAAGGGCATGCTTCCTGATCGCCATCTTGAGTGAGGGCAGGTGCCTGATCCAGCATCCTCTGTGAAGGCTGCATGTATTTGGATCTTCCTTGCTAGAAGAGGTTCTCCTGCTCCCAGCTCGGATTCCTAACAGAGGAAGCAGCACTATCTTATGACAGACCAGTACCACAGTATCACAAAGACAAGTTCACTTAGTCTTTCCTTTAATCAACAAATACTTGAGTACTTAATATATTCTACACACTGTTCCAGGCGCTGGCCAAACAGCAGAGAGCTTATATTCTATTGAGGTAGATCTACAATAGAATAAGTAAAATACTTCATGGCTAAGGAGAAATGGAGTAAGTTATGAGAAAATGAGGTATGTTTGCTCCATGGTAAAGCCTTCAATTAATCATAGCTCCTATTATTCTCCATATTATCCTTGTTTCATAATTTCTACTTGGGATTCAAGAATTAGAATAGCTAACCTAGAATGATTAACCAGATGCTATGAGTAAAATACAATAAAATGAGATTAGTGGGAAAATAGGTGAGCCTAACTAGTGAATAGTTATTATGTTACCTTTTGTTTCTTTGCTTCTGTTGGTATTGGGATTTGAACCCAGGAAGGGACTCTACCATTTGAGCCACACACACAGCACTGCATGCATTACATGTAAACACAACTATGACCTTTGTTCAGCAAATACTGGATGCTTCCTGCAGGTCAGCTACTGTTTTGGTTTTAGGTAAGTCAAATAGATGTGGCCACTGCCATTGTGGTGTTTCAGACTAATGATACTTTAGCAGTATTGATTAAGCATGGGATGTTGAAAAGAAATGAATAAGTATCGTAAGACTTTTGAAAGAATGAGATGTCCCAAGAAGAGGCTTCAGCAGTGTTAGTGTAGAGTTCGTCTCTCCAGTGATAAGTGTGTATGTAATATAGAAATAAACATGTAATTTCCACACTTTCCACAGTTAGAGCCTCTGGGTGTCATCCAAATGTTCCTGTACCCTGTTTTAGCTCAACTCACAAATCTTCTGGGCTCCAATCCACACGGATGGAAAATGGATTAGAACAGGATTCTTCGACAGCTGTTGCAGTCATCTGAAAAGCTTAATGGAAATAATGCAGAAAAGGCAAGAGGAATGTTTTCAGGATGCATGGAATAATTTTACTCAGCTATGTGGTCTAGTTATAGACAGCTGGACAGAAGAAGGACTTGGTTTTCATTGAGTCAAAGATGAATTTGAAGTTTTGCAAACTGGGTTAGTCCTTTGAGTCATAACCCCAAATCCAATTTTGGCTAGCTTAAAAATGGTACTCATGTGTGCTGATGGCTCACACCTGTAATCCTGGTTACTTGGGAGGTTGAGATCTGAGGATCACAGTTTGAGGCCAGCCTGGCCAGGAAAGTCTGTGAAACTCTTATTATCAATTAACCATCAAAAAGCCAGAAGTGCCCTCTGAACAGTATTTTCACACACACACACACAAAAGCCAGAAGCGGAGCTGTGATTCAAATGGTTGAGCACAAGACTTGAGTGAAAAGGCTAAGGGACCAGTGTCTAGCGTCTGAGTTCATGCCCCAGGCTAGGCATGCATGCATGCCCTCCTCACACACACACTGGTACACATGTGGAATAAACCACCCCTGGAGGTAACTAAATCATAACTTTGGAATATAGAACAGTGTTTCTCTGGAAATTTCTGGAGTTGTGTTTTGAGGATAGGGAGGCTAGGGCTGTTCATTATCCTACGAAGCATTGGATAACTTGCACATGAAGCCAGTCAGGGCTAGAAAAATTTGTGAGACTCTTTCCTACACTAAACTACCAAAAAACCCGGAAGGGAAGCTGTGGCTCACGAACTAGAACACTAGCCCTCAGCAAAAAAGGCCTGGGACAGCACCCAGGCCCTGAGTTCAAGCCCTAGGACCAGCACCAAAAAAATAAATAAAAATGTTCCAAGGCTGAGAAATATAAAAAGGTAGATCTATTATTATTCAGCTACCTGAAGCCACTTCCCTAGGGTTTTAAAGATCCACCCTTGAAAATTATTTGGTGTTGCCCACTTCCAAAATGGCTCCTGACCAGTCATGGAAGGATCTGCACTGGTCCAAAAAGCTGGCAAGGATGCCAGTAGCCAGAATGGTTTGGTCCAAGCCGCTGTTGTCATCTTCCCCCCCACCCTCCACTGCAGAGTCAATGGAAGAGGCCCAGTTGTGGAGCGAACCAACTCAGGTGCCTCGAGCAGGAGGGTTATTTCCTCGTGACGGGTAAAACTGAGCTTTCCTCCTTGAGATCTCGAGCCAACTCCGGGAACTGAAGATCTGCCTCGTGCTTTCATTACGATTCGTGGTGTTGGATTGGCGATGGGTGGGATCGGGTGGGTCTGGGACCCGTTGCAGGTCCTTGTTCCCCCCTCACTGCGGTGCGCAGTGGTTCGCTCTCCGTACTTCCCAGTTTGGGGCAGTTCGGGTCGCAGAAGTCGGTTCCGGAGCTGTCAGCGAGGGCGCGAGCGCGTCGGGGCGCGGGGTGGGCGCGGCCGACCCGGTCCCCGACCCGGCCCGCGACCCTTGGCCTTTCGCGCGCCCCGCACCCGCTTGCCAGGCGGCGGACGGAGTATCGCTCTCTTCGTCCGTCCGCTTGCCGGAGTTCTCTAGATCGGCAGCCGCCGGACGGACGAACAGACAGGCAGGCGCCGGAGACCCCTCCCGGGTTGAGGCTCGTGGGCCGGCCGGCCATCCGGGCCGCGGCATCCTCGCCATGTCCTCGGCCCGCGACGCCCGCGGTCAGTTTCCCCTGCACCTCCTGGTCTGGAACAACGACTACCGGCAGCTGGAGAAGGAGCTGCGGGACCAGGTGAGGTGGGGGGCGGAGGGAGCCGGGGGGTTTCCAGCCTTCAGTGCCGAGGGGTCTCGCCCTCGCCTTGGGCTTTGCGATCGCGGGACAGTAATCACAGTAGGGCATGTACCGGGCGCTTGCTGTATGCCAGGCCCTGTGCCGAGGGCTTTTCTTCTTCTCCTCTTTTGTCATTATCCTTGTAACCTTGCCAAGAACGCCAGGGGGTGGGTGGGTAGGTAGGTAGGTAGGTAGGTAGGTCGGTCGGTGAGAGGTGTTGGTATTATTCTAGCTGACTGGGAAGGAAACTGAGGCTCCCAGAGGTTAGTTGCTGCCGCTCTGTTCATTAATACCAAGTCGGCATTTTATCTCAGGGCGGCTAGCTGCAGAATGCAATCTTAACCAACTGACTCAAAAGACTTAGGAACTACACACACACTCACACACACACCGTATTCCACCCATTCTTCCGAGAAAGAGCTTGGTTCTTGTCTTTTCTTTTCTTTTCTTTTCTTTTTTTAAGACCAGGTTCTAACTTGCCCTGTGACCTTGGCCATGGCTTTTTTTTTTTTTTTTTTTTTTATTGTGAGGCCCGTAATAACAGATTTTTAGAATGAGGAAGTTGATGGGGATGTATGCAAACTCAGTACTGGACTCTATTATTGATGATTCGAGGGGGGAGGGGGGAGGGGGAGGCTTAGCAATAAGTAATTAACAATCTTTCAGGGAGGCTGGTCCATGGGAAAGTTTGAGAATCATTGGTGCTCAGGGTCCTTTAAAATCCCTTCCTGTTCTAACATGTTTTGATTCTTTATCTTTTATTTATTGCCATCTTTCTAAAGAAGTGGTTTTCAGTTGGAGGCGATTTTGACACAGAGAGGGGGGGGAGGAAGGGAGGAAGAGGGAGGGAGGGAGAGAGAGAGAGAGAGAGAGAGCGCCCCACCTCTCACCCTGACATTTGGTAATGTATGGAGACATTTTTGGTGGTACCTGAGGAGGAGGAGCTGCTGTACTGGTATCTTAGTTGAGTCAAGGCCAGGGATGCTGCTAGTCCCACAATGCACTAGGCAGCCACCCTCAGCAGGGAATTAATCTGTTCTGAATGTCATAGTACCTTGGAGAAACCTTGTTTTAAAGGCCAGCAACTCCAGTAGGTGTTGGTGCCCTCTAGTTACAAACTAACAAATTCAGGAAGTAGGATAAGGATTTGTAACTGCTCCTGAGATTAAGTATAATTCTTTTTTTTTTGGGTCCAGTCGTGGGGCCTGAACTCTGGGCCTGGGCGCTGCCCTTCAGCTCTTCAGCTCAAGGCTAGCGTTCTACCACTTGAGCCATAGCTCCACTTCCGGCTTTTTCTTTTTGCTTATGTGGTGCTGGGGAATCGAACCCAGGGCCTCAGGCATGCAAGGCAAGCTCTCTACCACTGAGCCACCTTCCCAGCCCCTTAAGTATAATTTTTATCTTTAGCTCCATTCATTTTATCCAGAGTGTTAAAGACTTGTTTTTGAATGGCTTCAAATTGACCCTGTAATAATTGTCATGAACTTTTAGAGGAAAGGGAGCCTTGGTTCTCTTCAGGTTGGTAAAAAATTGTGCAAGGTCAACGTCACCCCATTTGACCCATTATTGCTAAGTGCGTGCTTGCAGCCTGCCATGTTTATTTAAAGTTGGTTAAGCATCTGCTGGATGTCAAAAAGTCATTTTTTTCATCTAAAAAAGAATTCCACACTGGGCAATGGAGCTACCTGCCTATGATCCAGACAACTCTGGAGCCTGAGGCAGGAAGATGTACCTTGGAGGCTCACCTGGACACTTTAGCAAGACTCTGTCTTAGAAAAAAAAAATAGCAGAGCAAGGGTTTATAAGAGTCACTGTAATCAATTAGATGACACAGTAACTATTTAATTGTTAAGGTGATATGGCACATGCCCCTAGACAAAATGACTCACCATTAGGTATCCCAGTATACCTGATGATTTAATTCTTATTCTATTTCTAGACACGGCCCAGAGCCAGGGCAGTCTCCAAGATTTTTTTTTACTTTTCCCCCCCTCACTGCCCCTATCTTCAGGCTTGAACTCGAGGTC